CCTAGTGCTGCCTCATATCAGATGTCAGCATTCTATTTCCTGGCAATCCAGGGTATATTATTTATTCAAAGTAGAAAGTATAGGAGAGTTTCTGTAAACAGTGTATTAGTTATTTGCAGCAACGTAACAAAATGTCACCAAACTTAACAGCTAAAATCAAGTCATTTATTGTCTCAGTGTCTGAGAATCAGGAATCTAGGAGTGGCTTGGTTCGATGCTTATGATTTATGGTCTTTTATGAGGTTATTACAGTCAAGCTGTCAGCCAGGCCTGTGATCACTGAAGACTTGACAAGCTGGAAGGATCTACTTCCTAATTCATGCCTGTGTCTTCTGGCAGGCTTCATTCAGCTCCTCACCATATGGTCCTCACCATAGGGCCATTCATGACATGGCTCCCACCAGAGCACACGGAGAGAGGGAGAGAGAAAACACACCCAAGATGTAAGTCACAGATTTTTATAACCTAGTCCTGGAAGTGACACACCATAACTTCTACATGCTATAGCTCTCACAGCTTAACTGTGGAACAATCTGAGAGGGAGCAACCCAGGAGATAGCAAAGCTCATTGTGGGAAATCATGGAAGCTGGCTACCACAGCAAGTAGACTCCATCTGGAGTCACACAGCTCTCTAGATCCAAAGTCTGGGCTGTACCATATTCATCAAAACTTGATTGGAAGGGAAGGATGAAGGCCTGTCAGATGAGAGTAAACAATCTGCTTATTTAACTTGTCACTGACTCAGAGAATCTCTGATGAAAGTGCCCAACCACAGCCCCACGAAGCAGCTGGCCAGAGGGTGTGGCCTGAAACTCCAGCTGTCAGGAGGGCTGACCTCACTGGGACGCCCAGGAAACAGGGTGCCAGCTGATGACGGTTTCCAAATACAGCTCCTCATTTATCAACTAGTGAAATGAAAACCAGTTTTCTTGTTCCCACGAAAGTAGAAAAGATAAACACTTCCTGCTGGTACCTACTGATGTCGAACACTGTTTTATGTAGAAAATTTCTCTAATCTTGGCACCACCTAGCTGAGGGTTGTCTTATATCAGCAGCTGCAGGAAGCTAAAAATTGAGAAATTGAGTTTGTAGTTTCGGTTATTGGGAATGACCAATATTGGGTTATCTGGCTTGGAAAACTGTGTGTAATAAATGTATAGAAATCTTTTATTTTGAAAATATTTGTATACAATATTTATTAATAAAAAACTTCTCCCCAACTTCACCAAATAAATATTGAGTGAACACTTAAACAGTACTAGGTTAAAGGGGATATCAAATTATTAACCTTCTTTAAATATTTGTTTGAGAATTCACTGGTGGTCCAGTGGTTAGGACATGGTGCTTTCACTGATATGGCCTGGGTTCAATCTCTGGTCAAGGAACTAAGATCCAACAAGCTGAGAGGTATGACAAATAAATATTTGTTGCACTGCAGCCAAGCAAGGAAATAATTCAATTTTAGGTGGGATGTTTCAAGTCCCCCTGAATTCTCCAATCTAGCTATTAGTCTTCTTTGGGGGGACTTGGTACCAATGATGGACTTCTCCAGTGGCTCAGCTGGTAAAGAACCCGCCTGCCAATGCAGGAGACTCAAGAGACATAGGTTAGAACCCCAGGTCAGGAAGATCCCTGGAGTAGGAAGTGGCAACCCACTCCAATATTTTCGCCCGCAGAATTCCATGGACAGAGAGCCTAGTGGGCTACAGTCCATGGGATCACAAAGAGTTGGACACAACTGAGCAACTAATCCAGCACTCTCTCTAAGGTCACTCCTGCCTGAGTTGCTCTTAGCTCCAGGTATATTCCAGACCCTTTGTGAAGCCTCTGACTCTTAGCTTTTGAGAGGCATCCACATACTGGTTGAATCTTTTTTTCAAACTGGACAATCTCCAAGGTGAACTTCCTCTCAGGTGCTCTGCAGGGAGCATGTGCATTCACTCACCTCCACCCTTGATGGAAGTCTTGCAGACCTTCTCACAACACAGCCCTCTTCTCTCTGCCAGCACTGCTGTCTGCCCCAGACTCTCCTGCCACTCAACCCACTGTTGCATACACAACCTCTCTCCTGGCTACAGAATCAGCCATGGTTGCATTGGTGTTTGTGTTTCTTCTTAAAAATACATCCCAACCCTTCATTCACTGACTTTGTGGTCTTAGTCACTAATGGACTGCCTGAGATGTTTCCAACCCACTTGTACACTGATCTCAGTGGACAGAGTGAAACAGGAGCAAAATGGATTTCCATTTAAGGCTTATCTGATTTTTTTTTTTTAAACAGATGAAATGTGTGCACACACACACACACACAAACTGGCGGCCTCTGGAGTTTGTTTCCTTTTATTTCCTCCATAAATGTATTGCAATTTTCAATCTTCATTGTTGAACAGAAAGCTGGACTGTAATTCACTATATTAAACAAATAACCTAATTTGTTTCCTTTCTTTGTAATTTTCACTGATTAACAATTTACTGGTTCAGTGCAGTCTTAACATAAATCAGAGGTAGGGAGGAGAAGCTTACTGTCATGCTAGGTAAATACTTGAGAATCAAAAGGCCAGCACTTACCATTCCACTCAGTTTCAACTGCTCTTAATTTGATGGCCGCCCATCAAAAAACTGGGGCTTCCCAGGTGGCACAGTGGTAAAGTATCCGCCTGCCAATGCAGGAGACACAAGAGACCTGGGTTTGATCCCTGGGTAGGAAAGATCCCCTAAAGGAGGAAATGGCAACTCACTCCAGTATTCTCCCCTGAAAAATCCCATGGACAGAGGAACCTGGGCGACAGTCCATGGGGTTGCAAAGAGTCTGACATGACTGATCATGCACATAGACATCAGAAAATGGCTCCACCACAGGCATCTTTTCCTTTTCTTCAGGGTCCTGATGTGGTTGAATGATCTTGCTTTTTCAGAGCATCTGCAGTTCTCATTTGGACACCTTGGTTTATAAGACGGGCTCTTGTCCCCAAATACTCCCGACTCTTTAGCTGTTTCTGATGAGCCCTGTTACCCTCCCCAACCTACACCCACCTTACTTCAGGTCCCCAGGAGTCAGGAGAACATCCTGATGGGTGTTTCAGAAAATATTTCACACAGAGGAGTTCAGGATCCTGGGAATCAGCCCGCATTTTATTTTACATTCATATGAGTTCCTGCATTTCCAAGGTTATCAGATCACATTCAGGTTAGCACTGCTGGTAACAAAACTGTACAACTACCCTGGCTTCAAAAACAAGATAGGATGATACACATTAACACTTCTTTCCCTTTAATACTGCAGGAGACAATACATCACAAAAATAAAATCACATGCCTTTTACAATCCAGTGTGAAGGCATATTATGTTAAAATTAAACCATTTGAGACATAAGGAGAATAAGAAGAGTTTCAAAGCTTAGATGTTAACAATGTCCCCCAATGCCATCTTTCTAACGCCCAGTTGGCACACTCAGTGTCAGTGCCTTGGGAAGAGGGGGGCAGAGGAAAGCAGGGGATTATTCAACTGAAACTCATGGCTTCTTGGGCTACTTCTGTAAAATCTACTTAAATAACCTAAAATTCTAAAAAGAGTTCATATTAACAAGGGATGGTAATCTAGAAAGCACCTGGAGGAAATTCCTCCAGTCACTGATGGAAAATATAAGCTGCAAACATTTCATGAAAAAGGACAACGGTATCATATCCAGAAATATATTAAGTTCTGAAAATCCACTTTCACTTTACAGAATGAAAACACTATGACCCATGTTCTGGCACTGAATCAGTTCAGAAAACAGCTGTAACCTCTATCTGTAATATTTCTCATGGGCTATCTTGCATCATTACAATGTAAGAGTGCAGCTGACCAATATCCCAATCCCTGAAAAATATAAGAAGCCAAACTGAGCTAAAATAAACAGATCCAGTTCAGATTAGATAGGGGAAAAGTCAGATGTGTGAGAAAGCAAGATGTTAGATTTACTTGGGTCTTTTTCCTAGATTAAAAATACTATTACAAAATGTTTTGGACCCAGGTCCAACACAGCTGGAATGATAAGTTATTGACAATGCAAGCCCCCCATCCAGAAAGACAGCATGCTTATGCAGCACCTTTCTCTTAGAAGTCCAATGTGCTTTAGCATAATTATCAATTAACTGCATAATTAAGTACATGATTCAAAAAATACTCGGACTTATTGTTAATTCCAGTGACTAAGGAGTCCCTGCCACTTGCTGCCAAGAAATTTTTGAGTCCTGAACTTACCAGGTTATGAATAAAATCGATACTCATATAGATTGATTCAAAAGAAATACTACCCCTTTCAGGGCTGAAAAATATGACAGAAGAGAGAATAAGACACTTCTTAGGAAAGCCACATCTTTAGGAAAAAACACATTATGAAAAACCAGAGCCAGTGCATATTGTACAACCCCTGAAGAAACACCCCAGCAGCAGGGGGATCAAGGGGAGCAGTGATGATTTTGAAACCAGAGTGACTTGTAGCTAACTGTCTAACAGGAAATTCACATAGTAAAATACAGAATAAATCAACATATAGCCAAGGTTTACATTTATCTAGAAATATGTTTTATGCTTTAAAAAAAATTGCAACACACTCCAAAAAAATTTTTTTCAGATAATTCATGTACAACAGAAGGCACTGTTATTCGCATAAATCCATTGATTCTGCATGGCAAAACCTGAGACGTGCATTTCCATCCAGTCCTCTAAATCCACCTTGGTCATTCATCCTTTGGAGCATATGCTTTGTCCTTTTCAGTCCTATGATTTTGTTTTTCTTTAATTTCATACATTACAGTAGCTGCTTAAAATACATATTTCAGGATGAGAAAGATCAAAGGGGACGCGGGGGCAGAGAAAGGTGCTGCCGGATGCCAAGCAGTAACTGGCACAGCCGGTGGCGCGAAGAGCAGCCCCTCCCCAGCTCTGCTGACCCTCTTCTTCCAGCTGACACTCAACGTAACCATGACGTTTGGTCAGCTGATGTCCCTTCTTTCAGTTGTTGGTAGGCATAGTCCCAAAATTAAATGCAGAGAGGACTCCTTTGTTTTCAAAGGTGAAGCCTCCCTGTTGTTCAATCTTCTTCTTTGCCTCTAGAATTCGAAAGAGAAAGCAGGGAAAAGAGCAGAGTATTTAAAGTGACAAAGTTGAAAATATCCTCAAAGGAGCCAGATTCTTTGTGAATCTGGCTGTGAATCTAGCACTGTGAAGGAATGTGAATCGTGGTATTAATTATTCTACCCAGTTGAACACTAGCCTTTAACAAACCCATGTCAGTAAGTATCATCGTCCAGGTATCTGGGGATGTGTAACCCACAGATATGGAACCCAGAGATACAGAAGGCCCACTGCACCACATCATTCTAACAAGGAACTTGAGCATCCTAGGATTTTGGTATTTGAGGGGAGCCCAGGAACCAATCCTCTCTGAAGATACTGAGGAATGACTGCAATTATAATCTCCATTTCGGAAAAACTGTTTGCTAAAACTGAGCAAAATAAAAACAAGGCTCAAAGCCACAGTGTCTACTCCTAAAAGGGCACACTCACTTCTCCCATCAGAAGGGGCAATACAGAATCCGGGCAGGACCGAAGTCTAAAGTCTGTGCAGAAGAACCTGGGTTCTAAACTCTAGATTCCTATTCCATAATGTCTTCCACTAAAATACTTTTGTAATTACAAAATCTTCCATTAATTTTCCAGAAGTGACCATAATAATGTCTGCATAAAATAATTTCTCCAGCTCAAAAACTGAAAATCAACAAGAATCACCAACTTCTACATAAAGCCCAACAAAAAGAAATGGAGAGTATTTCATTTCTAGAAATATAAGGTCCTTGCAAGAACTCATAAAATGCCTTCGATTCATTGTTTAGATGGTTAGGTGGGTGACCTAGCTGGTTAACTCTCCTTCAGCAAAATTCATCCCAACCTTTATGTCTTACCTTTGGCTCCAAAATAGGATAAGGGAATGAATAAGAACACTACTAAAGACAACAGATGTTAACACGTGGTGTTTTGCAAAGCTATCGTAAGTGGTAAGATCATAAAACAATGATAATTTCTTATTATCTTGAAAGGTTGACCTCTAAAAACAAATTTTAGAACAGTATTTAGGTGCCAGCAGGCTGGTAAAAATAAAGGCTGACTCCCGACACATGCACTCCGATCAGAAAATCGTGCTGGCTAACCTGCCACTGTCCTCCGGTGCTCGGCCAGTGTGTACACCTCCTGCAGGGCCCTCCTCTGATCCTCACTGAGCGGCGCCATCAGCAGCTGATACCACGCAGCATCCCGATTCTGCACAGCTGTTGTAAGGTGAGGGTGTTTCAGGGGAGAAGGAATGATAAGGGAGTCCAATGACAGTTATTATTTCAGATAATAACTAATGATATAACCAAATTACAATGAAATGATAACAGACAATAAGCGATAAAACTTATTCCAACAAAGGATGACTCCTGAGTACTCACTTTAGTACTCAACCTATGTGGAGCTACAAAGGAAGGTTGAAGCAAAGTGAAAGTCGCCCAGTCATGCCCGACTCTTTGCGACCCCATGGACTATATAGAGTTCATGGAATTCTCCAGGCCAGAATACTGGAGTGGGTAGCCTTTCCCTTCTCCAGGGGATCTTCCCAACCCAGGGATCGAACCCAGGTCTTCGCATTGCAGGTGGATTCTTTACCAGCTGAGTCACAAGGGAAGCCCCTTGTGAAAGGGTTGGAACATCACAAATCTCTCCTTTGCCTAGTTCTCTGCCTCCTTTGCCATCTTCTCCTCTTCTTGGGGTTTCACTAACCATGATAGCTCCCTAAAATCCAGATCATGGGAAACACTTTACTCACTTGTTATCATTTTCCTCAGGAATTCTCATGCTTCCAGCACATGCCACATGCTACCCATCTACACCAAAAACTCGAATTTGTACCTTTAGGCAAAACTGTTCCCTAAACTTTCTGGACTTTTACATTGGATAGGTCACCTGCAACTCAGCACAACTATAACCAATTTTAACATTTTACCTCTCAAACTCTCCTTGGATCTCCCCATTTCCATCACTAGTTCTATCAGTCTCCTAGTCAACCACTATCATTCCCTCTCCACATCCAATTCTGTGCTGCTTTCTTGATGGTTTTCACCTATATGCTTTTTTTCATCAAATGCCATTCTTTCTCTAGAGGGCCCTACTTACTTAATAAAGCAATTTCCTAACACTTGGTTCCAAGTCTAGCCCACTTCAGTTCTTTTTGGACATTATCAATAGATAATACCCCTGAAAGAAACTACCACATCCCCAGGATCACCTCTTTATACAAAAACATTCAACAACACTCTAATGGGCAATGGGATAAAGGCAACCTCAGTCCAGAATCCAAGGCTGGTACAATTTGGTATAATTTTACCACTTCACAGAGACTTAAGCAGTGGTCCCTATATGCTGACTGAGCCAAAGCTGATTGCCTGTCTCTTGAGGAGCATTTTCAAAATACATATCCCGAGATCCCACTCAAGATCAAAGAGCTTCTTTGTTGCTTATGGTGGACACCCAGGTCCAGTAGCAACTGCCTTAGAGCACACCCTCTGCATTCCAATTTCCACATTTATGCTCTTTATCTTCCTCATGTTTTGGAATATCATTCCTTGGACTCTCTACCTCTTGTTCCTGCTAAATTTCCATAAAACACAGAGGTGATTCATTAATGGTATTTGTAATAAACAATATATTGGCATACTACATAATGCCAGTATATTAGGCTACCACTACCTTGCTGGTATTAACAATATTTTAGGGTTGGTGTTCAAATTGAACAAGGATGTTCAATTTAATATTTTTTATAACAGCAAAGAAACAAAAAACTGGAAATACCCTGTATGTCCAACAATGGTGGAAATAAGCTAAATTATGATACTGCCATAGAAATACAATGTAACTATCAAGCAACCCATATAGTGGGATTTCTTTTCATTATAACTTGCTTATAATAATTTTCTAAATACTCTCATTGGTTTCTTACTTATTTTCAATTCTATAAGTTTTCTATTTATATATCTCATTCTTATACTACGTTATTGGTCTTATTCATTTATAGAAGCTTTCTATAATCTGTGGATCTTACATGACAGTATTTTCTTCCAATCTTTTATGAGTACTTTAACTGTATTTCTAGTGTCCTTTGCTGTACAAAATTGGTATATTCCTTATATAGTTAAAAATTTACTATCTTATGGACTCCATTCCTTCACATGGGGATTGTGAATTGCTGATAAGTTTATGGGCACAATTTTTAAGCAAAATATGTGAGATACTTTATTCTGTAAAAATCTTTGTTTATACCTAGAGATTGAACAATATATACAGATACTCTTGACTTAAATTACTTTTATGAGGATATCCTGCAATCTTACCCAGACATTATGCTATCTGCTCTCATTTTATGTATGTTTGGGGATTTCTAAATACAAATTTTACAGGGAATCCGAAACCAATTTGGGGTAGACCCCAAAACAACTTCTAAAAGATGGAAATGAAAAACATATTTGATGATTCAGGGAGTAACAACATACTCAGCAAAGCTTGTGTAAAAAATTGATATTCATCCACACTATTGTCAAGGTCCAGTGGAGTACTGAATCCCTCAAGAGCAGTTTCTTCCAACACTTCTTCATCCCAGTCATCATCATCTTCCTCTTCATCTTCACCTCTTCCATTATTTGACTGCATTGCTTGAGCAGTGACATTAGTCTCCTCTTCATCACTTGAAATCTCTTCTGTGAATCCATTATTTATTCAAAAGGAATCAAATCACATAAGGACAAAAGATAAACCAAAATGAAAACAAAAATTATAAAGTGACATTCTAGAAATGGAAAAACTACCATTTAATTTTATGTAAAATTATAAAAATAAACCTTACCTTTACTATAGCTTGCTAAATTGAAAATGACTTTATCCTCCTCATTTAAACCGATTTCTAACTATCTCTAAATCTATGATCTAGACGAACTGTTATTACTGTTTTACTATGGCTGCTTCATATCCATTAATATGAAAATACTATTTAGCCAGATTCCCAAATTAACCTTTTTGTAAAAAAAAGACATAAAATGATTCTGTACTCAGTGCATGTGTTGTAAACAACAATGACCTCCCATTGAGAATGTGAGTCTCTTAACAATTAACTAAGATCCTAATAATTACCAATTGCTTGGAAATGCTCAAATGAAGAGGTCATTTCTGCTAACAGAAACAGAAAAATTTAGAAATAGTAAGGAAAAATAATTAGCTACACATGGGTTAAAAAGTTGACAGCTGAACTGTGTATCTCCATAGATTGAGTTTCTATTTTCAGGGCCAATCTGTCTTGTAAATAACTGGAAGATAGTAAAAGCAGGGCAAAATCAATCTAAGAGAAAAAACCTGGAGTAAACTTGAACCAGGCATTACTAATCTAAATCCAGTTCTATAAAACATACTATACTGAAGCACTTGGATTAAGCTGCAAAATGATTTTAGGGATAAGGCAAGAAACCCTAGTTTTTACCACATACATGAAAAAAAAAACTATATATAAAGGATAATAACAAGACAGCAAGAGATACCTTTGTTGGTTAATCATCAACACTTTAGTAGGAAATTCAATGAGAAAGTCTGGGATATTACTAAAAAAAATCTTCCCTCAAGTCATAATAATTATAAGCCACAGGAGACAAAGTAAGAAATTAGAAAGAATGCAACATACTGGAGAAAAAGAATACTGATTGCTTGAAGAAATTAATTTCAGGGTTAAAGACACACAGACTGAAATGTAGTTTGGTAGTTTTTCTAATGTGTCTAAGTGAACATTAGACCAGCTGAACTTAACAGTTATCTACAGGACATTACATCCCAAAATGGCAGAATGCATATTTTTTCCAAGTACACATGGAACATTCTCCAGGACAGAACACATGCTAGGCCATAAAACAAGTCTCACCAAATGTACAGGTATAGAAATTATATTAAGCATTTTTTCAGGCCACAACACTATGAAACTAGAAATCAATCACAGGTAGAAAAATGGAAAACATAAACACATGAAGACTAAACAACATGCTACTAAAACACCAATGGATGAATGAAAAAATCATAAAAGAAATCAGAAAATACCTTGAGACAAATGAAAACAAAAACACAACTTTCCAAAATTTACAGACACTGCAAAAATTTAGGTTTACCTCAAGAAACAAGAAAAATATCAAATAAACAGCCTAACCAACCATCTAAAAGGATTAAAAAAAAAAAAAAGCCCCAAGTCAGAAGAAAGAATAAAGTATAGAGGGGAAATAAACAAAATAGACTAAAAAAAAAAATAGAAGAGATCAAGAACTGTTTTTTGAAAAATAAGCAAAATGTATTAAGCCTTTAGCGGGGGAAATAAAAAAGAGGACTCAAATAAATAAAACAAGAAATAAAAGAAATTGCAACTGATATCACAGAGATACCAAAAAAAATCATAAGTGAATGCTACAAGTAGTTATAAGCCAACAAACTGAACAACTGAGAAGGAATGGAAACATTTCTAGAGATACACAACCTTCCAAAATTGAATAAGGAAGAAATAGACAATATGAATAAAGAGATCACTACTAGTAAATTGAATTCATAATCAAAAAACTCCCAGCAAACAGAAGTCCATGACTGGATGGCTTAATATGAAAACTCCTCCAAATGTATAAAGAAAAGCAAATACCTATCCTCAAACTATTCCAAAAAGCCAAAGAGGAGAGAACACTCCCAAACTCATTCCACGGGGCCACCAAAAGCAAAGACACTACCAAAATCAAGAGGAAGAGAATTATAAGGCTATTATTTCTGATGAATATCGATGCAAAAATCCTCAACAGAATTATTAGCAAACCAAATTCAAAAACTTATAAAAAGGATCATACACTACAATCCAGTGCAATTTACTCCAGGAATGCAAAGATGACTCAATATCCACCAATTAATGTGATACACCACATCAAAAAAGGATAAAATCACATGATAATCATAATACCTACCAAAAAGCACTTGACAAAATTCAACATCCATTCATGACAAAAATTTTCATCAAAGTAGGTACAGAGAGAACATATTTCAACATTATAAAGGCTGTTTATGGCCAACCCACAGCTAACATCATATGCTACAGTGAAAGCTGAAAGATTTCCCTCTAAACTCAGGAACAAGGTAAGGATGCCCACTCTTGCCACTTCTATTTAACATACTATTGGGAGGTGAGCCATGGCAATCAGACAAGAAAAAGAAATAAAGGAATCCAAATTAGAAGGGAAGTAAAACTGTCACTATTTTCATATGCCATAATACTATATATAGAAAACCATAAAGTTTCCACCAAAAAGCTCTTAGAATAAATGAATTTAGTAAAGTTGCAGAAAGAGAAATCAAAAAAAACCAAATCTATTTAAAACCATATCAAAGAAAATTACTTATGAATGAGCTTAAATGAGGAAGTGAAAAGACCTATACTCTACAAACTATAAAACACTGAAGAAGGAATGGAAGAAAATATAAAAAAATGGAAAGATATTCTGTGTTTATGGATTGGAAGAACTAATGTTGTTAAACTATCCATACTACCAAAGCAATCTATAGATTTAATGCCTATCAAAATACCCATGACACCCTCCACACAATTATAACAAATCGTCCTAAAATTTATATGGAACCACAAAAAACCCTGAACTGTCAAAGCAAACTTGATGAAAAAGAACAGGGTTGGAGGTATCATGTGCTTTAATTTCAAGCTATCCTATAAAGCTATAGTAATCAAAACAGTATGGTAATGGCACAAAAACAGACACATAGATCCACGGGAAAGAATTAAAAGCCCAGAAATAAACTTCTACATTTGGAGTTGATTCACCTACCACAAAGGAAGCAAGAATACACAATGGAAAATATAAATTTCTTCAACAATAAGCAGTATTGGGAAAACTGGACAGCTACATGTAAAAGAATGAAATTAGAACATTTTCTCATATCATAGATAAAAATAAACTCAAAATGGATTAAAGACCTAAATGTATAACCAGAAACCATAAAACTACTAGCAGAAAAACAGAACACTCTTTGATATAAATTGCAGAACTATTTTAGGGGTTCTGTCTGCTAAAGCAAAGGACACAAAAACAAAAGCAAATGGAAGCTAATTAAACTTAAAGGTTTTGGGGCATCAAAGAAAATCATTGATAAAATGAAAAGACAACCAATAAGTGCAAGAAATGATACAATACAATAGGGGTTAATACTCAAAATATATAAATAGCTCATACAACTCAATGTCAAAAAGCCAACTGACCCAATTAAAAAATGAGCAGAAGACCTGAATAAACATAAAAGATATTCAACATGGCTAATCATTAGAGAAATGCAATTCAAAGTCACAATGAGACTTTGTTATTCAACAAATAACAAATGTTGGCAAGGATATAAAGAAAAGGGAACCCTTGCATATTGTTGGTGGGAATGTAAATTGGTACAACCATTATGGAAAACTATATGAAAAGTTTCTCAAGAAACTAAAAATATGATCCAGTAATTTCACTCCTGGGTATATATACATATATAAAAAAATAACTCAAAAAGATATACACACCCCCAATGTTCACAGCAGCATTATTTACAATAGCCAATATAAGGAAGCAACCCAAATGTCCATCAACAAATGAATGGATGATGAAGATGTGGTGAGATATACAGTGAATTAGTACTCAGCTATAAACAAAGAATGACATCTTGCCATTTGCAACAAAATGGGATAGATCTAAAGGATATTATGCTTAATGAAGTAAATCAGACAGAGAGAGACAAGTTCTGTATGTTACATTTAAATGTGGAATATAAAAAATGAAAGAAACAAATGAATATAAAACAGACTCACAGATACAGAGAAATAACTAGCAGTAACCATTGGGAAGGGGGAAGTGGAGGGCCAAGAGTAGGAGATTAAGAGGTACAAACTATTAAGTTTTAAAAAAATAAAGCTACAAGGATATATTGAACAGCACAGGGAATATGTTAATACAATAACTTTTAACAGTGTAATCTATAACAACAGTGAATCATTATATATGCTGTGCATCTGAAATTAATATAATATTGTAGATAAACTATACTTCAATGGGAAATAGATAAACAAAGTTATGAACTGTTTATTTCTGGAATTTTCCATTTAACATTTTTAGACAACTGAAATCATAAAACCAAAATTGGGGTAAGAAGGGACTACTATAATTCAGTCAATCAAACTCAAAATATTTGTTAAACATGTAGCAGGCCAAGAAATTAAATCTATTTAATGTTTATAAATAGACTAAAACTCAAAGAAAACACATACTCAAAAAAATCAGTTCTAGCATTCACTGCAATTAGAACACTTTACCATTTTCTTCTATATTGGCTTTATCTGCTTTTGAGTGATCTTCCCGGTTTACCAGTTGTCTGGTAGCACAGACCTGCTTTAGTCCAAGGAAAAGGAAAAGAATTGAGGGCACAATCTGTCCCACCACAGCATCTACTGCAGGAGGTCGATTTTGCAATTCCAAAAGGATACTCAGTCCTATTATACACATCTTCCGATCATGATGCCTACAAATAATAAAAGGGAAAAAAGTGTGCACATGAGAAATAAGAAAAAATTCTGAAGAAATTACAAAAAGGAACATCCAAGTTATGCTCTAAGGTTCATTCATTGGAGCTACATGGAGGTAAAACTATTTCGTACTATATGAATTCCTATGTAAATCAAGTTTTGCAAACCAATTATCATCATCAAAGATCTATGGGAGCCTGCAATTGATATGATGAATCTTGCTGTGAAATCAATTTATGATTAATATAAAGGCTGCAACTGGGCCTTGACAAAACAAGTTTTATTAAAGCAAGAATACCTGTATATGACAGCATAAAATTCCTATCCAGTGAAAGAAGAGAAGTCCCTTAGACTGTGATTCATTGCACTGTTCTACAAGATATACTATACTATATACTAACCCCCCAGGTGCCAAAAGCTAGTCTAAAAATCTCAACATCTAATAAGCTGAACTTAATGTGGGCATGCTCAGTTACTCAGTCATGCCCTATTCTTTCAGATCCCATGGATCTGTCCATGGAACATTCCAGCTAAGAATACTGGAGTGGGTTGCCATTTCCTGCTTCAGAGGATCTTCCCAACCCCAGGAAGGAACCCAGGTCTCCTGTGCCTCCTGCATTGGCAGGTGGATTCTTTACCACTGCACCACCTGGAAAGTCCTGCTGAACTTAATAGCTGCAAGTAAATCTACTAAATGTCCTGTGCTATAAAATAAGATAAAGAAAACTTAATTCTGAAGGAAAAAAAGTTTGACCAATGGTGGAACTAGTGGTAAAGAACTCACCTACCAATGCAGGAGACATAAGATACCTGGGTTCAATCCCTGGGTTCAGAAGATCACCTGGAGGAGGAGATGCAAACCCCTTCCAGTGTTCTTGCCGGCAGAATCCAATGAACAGAGAAGCCTAGCAGGCTACAGTCCATAGGGTTGCACAGAGTCAGACATAACTGAAGCCGATTTAGCAAATACACAATATACATTACAAAGATTTCTACATGAATGCTTCTAAATTGTTTAAAACTAAAAATATTAAGAATGAAAAGATTACTGTATTTGTGTAACATTCACACAGGCATGAACAAAAAAATTTACTGGCAGTAATTCAAAATAAAATATACAACCAAAAAAGTGAAAAGTGTTAGTCACTCAAACATGTCCAACTCTTTGAGACCTCATGGACTGTAGCCCACCAGGCTACTCTGTTCATGGGATTCTCCAGGCAAGAATACTAGAGTGAGAAGCAATTCCCTTCTCCAGGGGATCTTCCTGACCCAGGGATCAAATGCAAGTCTCCCACACTGCAGGCAGATTCTTTACTGTCTGAGCCACCAAGAAAGCCCCAATATACACCATGCACTCCTCAATATACAACAAACCTAACAACAAATATAGCTTCTGCTATTCTTCATTATTTCCATTGCTTGATTCAAGTTACTAATGCCAAAGTAGTATACTATAATAGGTACTGTGCTTGACCTGATGACTTTCTCATTAATGTAGCCTCTACCTAGTAGTGTACACCAAGAGTCAAATGGATTACAGTACAAAAGATGATTATTGAGTGGGGCTCTGAAGAATCCAAGGGAGCACAATCGATGCATGCCCAATCTATATAATTGGTGAGATACCTTCTATTTTTGAAAAATTGCTTATATATGCTACTAACTGTATAACTGGGCTTCCTTGGTGGCTCAGTGTTACAGAATCTGCCTGCCAATGCAGGAGAAGTGGGTTCAATCCCTGGGTCAGGAAAATCCCCTGCAGAAGGAAATGACAATCCACTTCAATATTATTGTCTGGGAAATCCCAGCAACAGAGAAGCCTGGCAGACTACAGTCCATGGGGTTGCAAAAGAGTTGGGCATGACTAAAAGACTAAGCAACAACAACTTTATAACTGTGAATGACTAAATCTCTACTCTGTAAACCTTTGTCAGATGTAACTAAGTACAATTTCTTTCTAAAGTATGCTCTTCCTTTCAAAGTATTAGTAAGAAATCTAAATCTGGGACAAATTCTAGTCTCCTATATGTAGAAAAATTAGAATACACATAGCAGCTTTTAAGTAAGTTTTCCTATTCCTTTCCACCATCCTAATTCAGGCCTCCACCATCTCTCCCCCACTTGGTAATATTCTAACTACTCCTGCTGGAATTATTTTCCCCTCAGTTTATTTTTCTAAATGATATCTTATAAGACGTAAAAAGTACACTAGTTATTTCTAAATTCATAAGCAGTCTCTCAAATTCTAACACGGCAGGGTCACTTATATGTGTCCGGTCACCTGAGGTGGGTATGTAACTATGACTTCAGTTCAGTTCAGTTCAGTCGCTCAGTCACGTCCGACTCTTTGTGACCCCATGAATCACAGCACACCAGGCCTCCCTGTCCATCACAAACTCCTGGAGTTTACTCAAACTCATGTCCATCAAGTCGGTGATACCATCCAGCCATCTCATCCTCTGTCGTCCCCTTCTCCTCCTGCCCCCAATCCCTCCCAGCATCAGGGTCTTTTCCAATGAGTCAACTCTTCGCATGAGGTGGCCAAAGTACTGGAGTTTCAGGTACAGCATCAGTGCTTCCAATGAACACCCAGGACTGATCTCCTTCAGGATGGACTGGTTGGATCTCCTTGCAGTCCAAGGGACTCTCAAGAGTCTTCTCCAACACCATCCAATGAACACCCAGGACTGATCTCCTTCAGGATGGACTGGTTGGATCTCCTTGCAGTCCAAGGGACTCTCAAGAGTCTTCTCCAACACCACAGTTCAAAAGCATCAATTTTTCAGCGCTCAGCTTTCTTCACAGTCCAACTCTCACATCCATACACGACCACTGGAAAAACCATAGCCTTGACCAGACGGACCTTTGTTGGCAAAGTAATGTCTCTGCTTTTTAATATGCTATCTAGGTTGGTCATAACTTTCCTTCCAAGGAGTATCTTTTAATTTCATAGCTTGCAGTCACCATCTGCAGTGATTCTGGAGCCCAAAAAAATAAAGTCTGACACTGTTTCCACTGTCTCCCCATCTATTTCCCATGAGGTGATGGGACCAGATGCCATGATCTTAGTTTTCTGAATGTTAAGCTTTAAGCCACCTTTTTCACTCTCCTCTTTCACTTTCATCAAGAGGCTTTTTAGTTTTTCTTCACTTTCTGCCATAAGGGTGGTGTCATCTGCATATCTGAGGTTATTGATATTTCTCCTGGCAACGCTGATTCCAGCTTATGCTTCTTCCAGATCAGCGTTTTTCATGATGTACTCTGCATATAAGTTAAATAAGCAGGGTGACAATATACAGCCTTGACATACTCCTTTTCCTATTTGGAACCAGTCTGTTGTTCCATGTCCAGTTCTAACTGTTGATTCCTGACCTGCATACAGGTTTCTCAAGAGGCAGTTCAGGTGATCTGGTATTCCCATCTCCTTCAGAATTTTCCACAGTTTATTGTGATCCACACAGTTGAAGGCTTTAGCGTAGTCAATAAAGCAGAAATAGATGTTTTTCTGGAACTCTCGCTTTTTTGATGATCCAGTGGATACTGGCAATTTGATCTCTGGTTCCTCTGCCTTTTCTAAAACCAGCTTGAACATCTGGAAGTTCTCGGTTCACGTACTGCTGAAGCCTGGCTTGGAGAATTTTGAGCATTACTTTACTAGCGTGTGAGATAAGTGTAATTGTGCAGTAGTTTGAGCATTCTTTGGAATTGCCTTTCTTAGGGATTGGAATGAAAGCAGACATTTTCCAGTCCTGTGGCCACTGCTGAGTTTTCCAAATTTGCTCATACATTGAGTGCAGCACTTTCACAACATCATCTTTCAGGATTTGAAATAGCTCAACTGGAATTCCATCACATCCACTAGCTTTGTTCGTACTGATGCTTTCTAAGGCCCACCTGACTTCACATTCCAGGATGTCTGGCTCTAGATGAGTGATCACACCATTGTGATTATCTGACTATGACTTAGGATCTCACTTTTCCTATGTTGGAAAGCTAGGAGAGTGCTTCACACAAAGCCAAACTCTCCTACCAGGATAGGATCTGGACTATAGCTAACAATCCTCTGATTTCACATTTGAGAACAGGCTTCCTTGAGGTTTTCATATTTTTACCAGACTAGTACTTTCCTTAGAAACATTACTTCATTCAGGGTGTTATTACTTACAGACACTTAAAGTCAAGGAACCCAAGTAAACCCTTAATTCTGTTAACAAGACATATAATGATACACGTAAGTCAAAAACAAGTGAGGGAGGGTAATAAACCTAATTTTCAGAGCCTGTGTTCTTTTCCACTAGATTATACTCCTGAAACACATTCTTAAGTCTCTAAAAATTTAATATTATGTTAATACACTAAAAAATTCCTAGATATAAAAACTATCTTTCAATATGCTATTATACATGCATATTACAAGTCAACTTTCCAAGAACAGAAATGCAGTGTAAAATCAAAAAAACACAGACCCAAGAAAACAATCTGTATCATTCATCCACTGATTTATAAATTGTACAGTTACAGGTCCAGGGTTGTGAGGCAACTGAATTCGTTCTAAAGTATGTAGCAGCAAATCTGGGTTGTAGTACAAGGCAGCAATTGCAACCTGAAGACACATAGTACGAAGCTCACTAGTTTTGACCCCTCGGGTTAATCTCTCCAAAACAAGTTGCACGAAGAGTGGAATGCACTAGAGGAAAAAAGAAAAAGAGAAATCAAGTAACTTTTACAGAAAGCTGAATGCTGGTAAAGTATAATCATTAAATAAGATACCCTTAAAGACAGTAGAACTTGCTAGTTTGAATCATTTTCAGAATTATAAAACTCAGAGAGACTAAATGGCCAAAAAAGGTCCTAGAGCAGTACCAAAATGTCTCCTTTCCTTTTAACTGAAGATTATACTTAGATGAAGATTGTCCTCCAAGAGTACACAATCAAAAAAACTGCAATAATACAAATGTAGACTCAGTCACCCATGTTTAAGTCAAATTGACTAGGATGGAGTTTTTCTTTGATAAATCAAATTGGAAATACAATTGACCCTTGAACAAAATGGGTTTGAACTATATGGATCAATTTAAATACAGATTTTTTTTCAACAATTAATACTACAGTTCTACACTATCCATGGTTAATTAAATCCAGATAGGGAGAAACCATGTATACAGAGGGCCAACTAGAAGTTATACACAGATTTCTAACTGCACAGAGGGTGAGCACCTCTAACTCCTGCATTGCTCAAGAATGAAGTGCAAAAAAAAAAAAAAGAGAGACTTAGAATAAGCATGATGTGATCAGAATTTCTCTTGAGGAAAATAAATTCCTAAAAAAGTCACAGGGATATAACATACACATGGTTTGCTGTTGTTCAGCCACTAAGGAGTGTCTGACTCTGCAATTGCATGGACTGCAACACCCCAGGCTTCCCTGTCCTTCACTGTCACACAGAGTTTGCTCGAACTCATGTCCATTAAGTTAATGATGCCATCCAACCATCTCATCCTGTCACCCCCTTTTATTCCTGCTCCCAATGTTTCCCAGCATCAGGGTCTTTCCCAGTGAGTCAGCTCTTTGCATCAGGTGGCAAAAGTACTGTAGCTTCAGCTTAAACATCAGTCCTTCCAGTGAATATTCAGGGGTTAATTTCCTTTAGGAATGACTGATTTGATTGTGCTGTCCAAGGGGCTCTCAGGAGTTTTCTCAAGCACCACAATTCAAAAGCATCAATTCTTTAGCACTCAATCTTCTTTATGGGCCAACTCTCACATCCGTACATGACTACTGAAAACCATAGCTTTGACTATATGGACTTTTGTCGGCAAAGTGATATCTCTGCTTTTTAATAGGCTAGGTTACATCAAGCGAAATGCTGGGCTGAATGACTCACAAGCTAGAATTAAGATTGCCAGGATAAATATCAACAACCTCAGCTATGCAGATGATACCACTCTAATGGCAGAAAGTGAAAAGGAACTAAAGAGCCTCTTGATCAGGGTGAAAGAGGTGAGTAAAAGAGCTGGCTTAATACCCAACATTCAAAAAACTAAGATCATGGCATGCAGTCCCATCACTTCCTGGCAAACAGATGGGGAAAAAGTGGAAACAGTGACATTTTATTTTCTTGGGTTATAAAATCACTGCAGACAGTGACTGAAGCCATGAAATCAAGACACTTCCTTCTTGGGAAAAAAGCTATGACAAACCTAGACAGTGTATTAAAAACTAGAGACATCACTTTGCCAACAAAGGCCCATATAGTCAAAGCTATATTTTTCTAATAGTCATGTACAGATGTGAGAGTTGGTCCATAAAGAGGGCTGAGTGCTGAAGAATTGATGCTTTCAAACTGTGGAGCTGGAGAAGACTCTTGAGAGTCCCTTGGACAGCAAGGAGATCAAACCAGTCCATCCTAAAGGAGATCAGTCCTGAACATTCACTGGAAGGCCTGATACTCAAGTTGAAGCTCCAATACTTTAGCCACTTGATGCAATGAGCAGACTCATTGGAAAAGGCCTCGATGCTGGGAAAGATTGAGGGCAGGAGGAGAAGGGGGAGACAGAGGATGAGACCATTGGATAGCATTAGCAACTCAACAGACATGAGTTTAAGCAAACCCCAGGAGATACTGAAGAACAGGGAAGACTGGCATGCTGCAGTCCACGGGGTCACAAAGAGTTGGACACAACTTAGCAAAAGAATAACAATGTTACTACTTAAGAAGGTGAGGAGATAATGAATGCAACTATTTGCTTATTTTTTTAAATGAAAGTATGAACTAAAAACTGGGGGTGGGGGGAGGTGGAAATGGGGAAAGAGTAATGGTAGAGTGGACAGGGATGGAAGCTAGATTTTTCTGAATATACCTTGTTTTTTGTAAATCAGACTTTATGCATATGTTTTGTTTATTCATAAAAAAATTTAAGCAATCCCTAGTTGTTAAAATAAAATGAATAATCAAACAGGGATTATTTTAAATTACTTTAAAATTTGTGACTTGACATGTTTGGCTATAAATATTCCTAGCATATGAATATACCCTTGAGACAAAAAGAGCCACTAAAAAACCTTAAAACACAAGTTTAAGACAATGCAATCACATGTTTGTGGCCATGCTGGTATAACTATACTGACACTGTGTATATAGTTCTTATTATTGTTTTTAAGTGGAGGATAATCACTTTACAATGTTGTGTTGGTTTCTGCCATACATCAACATGAATCAGCCACAGGTATACACTGTTCTCTCCCTTCTGAACCTCCCTCCCATCTCCCACCTATCCAGTCCCTCTAGATCGTCGCAGAGTACCAGGTTGAGCTCCCTGTGTTACACAGCAGCTTCCCACTGCTACCTATTTTGCATGTGGTAATCTATATGTTTCAATACTACTCTCTCAATTCATCCCACCCTGTACTTCCCCCACTGTGTCCACAAGTCTGTTCTCTACGTCTGTGTCTCTACTGCTGCCCTGCAAACAGTCTCATCAGTACATCTTTCTATAGTCCATATATATCCATTAATACTCAATATTTGTTTTTCTCTTCCTGACTTACTTCACTCTGTGTAACAGGCTCTAGGTTCATCCACCACACTAGAACTGCCTCAAATTTGTTCCTTTTTATGGCTGAGAAATAGTCCATCATATATATGTACCACAACTTCTTTATCCATTCATCTGTTGATGGACATCTACTAGGTTGCTTTGATGTCCTGGCTATTGTAAATAGTGCTGCTATGAACACTGGGGTACATACATCTTTCAGAGTTGTGGTTTTCACAGGGTATGTCTAGTAGTGGGATGCTGGTTATATGGCAGTTTTATTCCCAGTTTTTTAAGTTTCCCTACTCTCCATAGTGGCTGTATCAATTTACATTTCTACCGACTGTGCAAAGGCGTTCCCTTTCCTCCACATTGTCTCCAGCATTCACACTTTGTAGATTCTTTGATGATGGCTATTCCAACTGGTGTGAGGTGATATCTCATTGCAGTTTTAATTTGCATTTCTCTAAAAATAAGCAATGTTGAGCATTTTTTCATGTCTCTATTTGCCATCTGTATATCTTCTTTGGAGAATGTCTATTTAGGTCTTCTTCCCATTTTTTAATTGGGTTGATTGTTTTTCTGATATTGAGCTGTATGAACTGCTTGTATATTTCAGAGATTAATCCTTTATGAGACTCTATATATTAATACATATTACTGGGATAAAGTAAATGAGTAATTATGATGAGGACAAGGATTCTGGGTTTAGGGGATATTGATTAGGATCAATTTGGTTAAATAAAAATAATGTAGTCTTGAATTTGAACTGGAAATATCCATGTCTTCTAATAATGCATTAGTCTCAAAATAACACAATATGTATTTCCTAGTTCTGTTTTGCGGAAATAATGACCAACTCAATAGCAGAGGCTATCCCTTTTGCTTATAGTTCTGGAATACCATTTCCCAGGATAGGGCAGGAAATGTACAAGATGAACCTGGAGCATCTAGACACACCAGATAGTAGAAAATTTCCAAACATACTAGAGTCAGGTCAAAAGCACTCATATGGCAAACTCAAGAGGCTCCCACAAGCCAAGGCTAAAAGAACTCTGTGTACCTGAAACATTCTGAAGTATTATTTTAATATTATTTGAACTTACAGATTTAAATGAACTATGTCAAATAAAGTTGAATCTGTAAGTTCAAATAATACTAAAAACCAAAAAAAACAAACCCCAAAACATCTCACTGGTCATCTTTGGAAGACGCTAGGCAACAAACTTATTGCCTCAGTCATGACAAATAAAGGAAATACTCAAACCGTTCCTCAGAGGAACCTAATAAATTGATGAGAAAACACTTCTCTTCATAGAAATATTTCTACTCATAAATAAAGAAAGAATGACAGAATTAAAATATCATCACCATCAGCACTAAGATCATAAGATGAGAGACAACCAGACACCTGTGCCTCCTGGTAGGAACACACACCACCACCTATGAAGCATTCTTGCCAAAAAAATCACAAATAAATCTTACCAAAATATCTAGATATAACTACCAATTTATAGGAAATACTGAGGAGTCTCATTCCAAGGTGTTATAACCCTTCAGCACAGCAGTGGTAACCTCGCTAACATTAGACAGTGAGCTAACTCAACTTTCTGACACAGAAATGCTTGGATACCAACTTTTCAATCCCTCTGACAATCCAGCTTTAGAAGTAGAAATCCACAGTATTACACCTGAAATTCTTACTTGCAGAATGAGTCTATCCAACTAAAAGCAATTCCTCTACTCAATCTTTCTTTACTAGACTTACTAAACTTCTCCAAACTGAAATTTCAACTTCATTCATTTCTTAACAATTCTACCTAACTAAGAAGATCAAGCCATTGGACTTAAGTTTTGACATCCCTTCTTTCTACCTCAAGACACATCTCTATATCAGCATTATCTAAGGTGGAAGTAAGAACATATTCTGAGATGAATGAATGTGAACATATAGCAAAACTTATTAATGTAGCTAAAGCAGCAGTTAGAGGGATGTTTATAGCTATCAATCTCTATAATAAAAAGCAAGAAAGATCCCAATCTAATAATCTAAATTTCTACCTCAAGACTCTGGGAAAAGAAGAGCAAGCTAAACTCAAAGAAAGTAGAAAAGAATAAATTATGAGGTTAAAGCAAAAACTAACGAAATAGCAAACAGAAAAACAAGAGAGAGAAAAATCATAAATTGGTTCGTTGAAAAAATGAACAAAATCAACAAATTTTCACTTGAAATAACAAAAGGGAAGAAAAGAGAAAGAAGATGATGATTACTAAAATCAAAAACAAACAGGGTCAACACCACTGACCTACAAAAAGATAGCAGAGCACCATGAGCGGCATGCCGACTGATGAGTCGTCAACTCAGATGAAACGGACCACTTCCAAGGGAGATGCAAACCCCCATACTGACTCGAAAAGAAACAGAAATACAGGTAGACCTACAACAATCAAGAGATTGAACTGGTAATTTTAAAACTGCCCACAAAATAACCTCAGGCAAAGATGGCTTCACTGCTATATTCTAACATTTAAAAAACACCAACTTTCATATATTCTTCCAAAAAACAGAAGAGTGAGCCCTTCCCAACTCGTTCCATGAGGCCAGCATAACGCTGATTCCAAATCCAGACAAAGATACCACAAGAAAAAAAATTACAGATCAATATCTCCTATAAATATAGACACAAAAATAGTTATAAAAAATACCATCTAACTGAATCTAGAAATATATAAAAAGGATCATATTCCACGATCAAGTAGGATTTATACCAGAAATTCAACATTGATTTAACATCTGAAAATCAACAAATACACCACATTAAAAGAACAAAAACCATATGATCATCTCAAGAGAGGCAAAAAAGCATCTTACACTCCTTCATGATTGAAACATTCAACAAACCAGGAGTAAACAGGAATACACTCAATCTGATAAAAGACAGCTATGAAAAACCCACAGCTAACACTAGACTTAATGGTGAAAAGAATGCTTCCTAACCTAAGACTAAGAACAAGACAAGGTGTCATTATACCTATTCACCATTACACTGAAGGTTCTGGCCAAGGCAACTAGGCAAGAAAAGTAAAATAAAAAGCAGCCAGGTTTGAAAGGCAAAACTCTTATCTGTAGATGAGATGACCTTGTATACAGAAAATCCAAAGAAATTCTCTGAAACTCTATTAAAACTAATAAACAATTTTGGCAAGGTTGCAAGAAACAAGATAAATATACCAAAAAATGTATTTCTAAACACAGACAATAAACAACTTGGAAATAAAATTAAGAAAACAATACCACTTACAACAGCATTAGAAAGGATAGAATATTTTAGGAAGATTTTAACAAAAGAAATGTACGTGAAAACTACATTTTTGAAAAAAATTAAAGATACCCTAAATAAAAGGAAAAGGAAAGACATCCCATGTTCAGGGATTGAAGTATTCTCAGAGTGACAATACTTCCCAAAGTGATCTAAAGATTTAACACAATGCTTATCACAATTCTAGCTGTCTTCTTTCCTTAAAATGACAAGTCAATCCTAAAATTCATATGGAAATTCAAGGGTCCAGATTAGCTAAAAGAATCTTACACAGGAAAACTGGAGGACTTAATATTTTCTAATTTCAAAAACTTACTACAAAGCTATAGTAATAGTGCAATCCTGGATTAAGGACAAAAGAATTCATCAAAACTGAATGAAAGTCCACAAATACAATCCTCACATTTATAGTGAATATATCTGACAAGTGTGCCAAGACATTTCAACAGGGAAAGAATAGTTTTTCAACAAATATTGCTCCTAGACACCTTGACATCTACACGCAAAATGATGACTTTTTTACCTTTTCCTCACACCATCTACAAAAATTAACTCAAAATGAATTAAAGACTTAAATGTTAGAGCTAAGGCCATAAATCTCTTAGAAGAAAATGGAAAATTTTTGTAAACTTGAATTTAGCAATGATTTCTTAAATATGATGACAACCACAACAACAAAAGAAAAAAATAAATTAGACATCATCAAAATTAACTTTCCTGTGCTTCAAAGGACATCATCAAGAAAATGATAACACAAAAATTGGGAAGAAATTTTTACAAAGTATATATCTGATAAGGAACTTGAGTTCAGAATATATACAAAGAATCCCTACAACTCAAAAATAAACAAACCAATTAAAAATAGGCCAAAAAATCCAAATAAACATTCTTCAAAAAAATACAAACAGCCACATGAAAAGATGCTCACTATCATAAGTCATCTGGGAAAATGCAAACCAAAACCATGAAATATCGCTACTAGGATGGCTATAACAAAAAGACCAACCAAGTGTTAGTGAGGATACCGAGAAATTAGAACTCTCATTCACTACTGGTAGGAACTCAGGAAATGGTGCAGCTGCTTTGGAAAAGTTTGGCAGTTCCTCAAATGGTTAAACACAGTATTACCACTCCTATATATACACATATATAGATATATATACCAAGAGAAATGGAAGACATGTCCACACAAAAATCAGCATACAAATGTTCATGTCAACATTGTTCACAATAGCCAAAAGGTGGAAATAAGAAAAATGTCCAACAATTGACGAATAGCTAAAATAAATGTGATATAATCACATGATGAAATATTTATCAATTAAAAGAAATACAGTACTGATATCTGCTATAACATGAAGGTATATTTTAAAGTATTATGTGCTAAGTAACAGAAGTCATTCACAAAGAACCACATTTCATTTATATAAAATGTATAAAATAGGCAAATCTGTAGAGAAAGAAAGTAGAATAATGGTTGCCTAGGGTTGAGGGTTATTTAGGTGAAATGAGAAATAACTACTAAAGGGCACAGAGTTTTCTCAGGGGTAGTGATGAAATATTCTGAAAACTGACTGTGATAATAGTTGCACAATTTGGTGTCTATATTAAAAACCAGAGAAGCATAAACTCTAAATGACTGACTGGATGGTATATAAATTATATCTCAATAAAGCTGTTATACAAAAATATATGGAATAAATATTACAGAATTGAAAAAAAAACTCTACACTTGAACACTTTTCTCAGTAACTGAATATCACACCACAGTTGTATCAAAAACTGAATTAATCTTGTTAAAAATATATAATTTTTTTTATCAATAGAGAAAAATTTTTTTCCTTTTTGCACCTTCATTTCTGATTGAAAAAGATATCTGGGAATATTTCAATAGCATACACAAAAACAAAAAAGCAACTCTCTGGGGATCAAACAGCAGGATTTGTACACTTATCTCCTTCATGATTTACTTGTTAGTCTCTTAAATTATTACATATTTTTCTGTGTATCTAGGATGCAAGGAATAATTTCCAAATTGCATGGGTATTTTTGTTATAAGATCTGTACCAGTAAATACAAACTATAGGCTATCTTCATAATTTTTCATCATAATATAAACAAAATGTCAAGCAGGCATGTAAATTTTAAATTTTAAACATCAAGTAGGATGTTTTCTACACATATATTACCTGATCAATTCCCCTTCCTTTGCACTGAAGAATGATGACTTCAAGAAGTTTGGCTGCATGACATTCTGCATCTTCTCCTGCATCTCCACATAGTACCTACAGTAATTAAAATTTCACTCAGCACTGAACAGCACTGTAAAACTTTAATCAAGTTTACATAAAGTAAATATCACATAAAAAACAGCCATTAGAATCATGGTGTTTGCATCATGAGTTTACCTTGCCAAAAAAAGGAAGTTCAAAATAAAGTCCATCTATCTTTTTTATCTACTCTAATTCCTTATGTGAGTAATAATTCGCTTTATTTAACTCTGGATTAAAAAGTAGGCTGCTACCTGTCTAGACAAATAAAGCTTCCCTTTAAGTAAGGCACCAAAAACAATAAAATGATACAATGAAATTTAAAAAAAAAAAAACTTCTTAAACAATGAAACAAACCGTGTATTTTTCCTATTTTTCTGTTCTTTTTGAATTCCTGTCTATATCCACCCAGTTTTTCATAATGAAACCATAAATATAATATTACATACCATTTACTTTCCTCACATGGACTTTATAACTTGAAGTACTTTCCAAAGATATTAAACCTTTTAGGACTAAACAGTATTACAGAAGATGAATATAACAGCTTACCAGACTGTTCCGCTAATGACAATTCTGTATTTTCACTGAATGAACAATTATAGAAAGCACATGTTCATACAAAGAATATGATAGCCTTATAATAAGGTTCACAGAAGAGAGATTTATAGAGTAATTTCTAACTTATGTTAGAAATTAAGAAATATGAAAAAATTAATGAGTTCAAACACAAGACATAAGAAAAAGAACAGACTTAAAGAATAAAGGTGAGACAGAAATTAGGAATAATAGACAAAAAGAGGTAACAGAAATCAAAACTAGATTCATTTTTTAAAGACTTTAATAATTTGACAACTTCTATCAAATGTATTTTTTTCAAAATTATTTTAAAAAGCAAAGCAAAATTTTAAAAAATGTTAGGAATGAAAGATATAAATACCTATAAAGGAAAGATTAAAAATGAAAATACTATGAACAATATTATATTCTTTATATTCTTTTAAACTCAGATGAATTGGATAATTTCCTAGACAAATATGATTTAAGAAAGCTGAATTTTAAATCTTTCCAGATAAAGATGACAGATATGAACATCCCCATTCAGTTTTATCCCTTCCCAAAGGCCATTAAAATGAAGATAAACATATTTTAGAGGCATACATCCACAAAGACAGAAAAAAGAAAAAAGAGACAGCTATAAAATTATGGAAGCTGGAAAACAGATGTGTCAGGGAGCTGAACTGTAAACAGGTAGCTAGCAAAACCAAGAATCAACCCTATTTACATAAAAAAATTCCACCTCTAGGGCAGTGTGTTTCTAGATCTAGATTCTAAGTATGAATGGGCTCTGGGACCAGAATGCCTAGGTCTAAATCCTAGCACTGCCATTTATGAGCTGTGTTTTTAGATAAGCTATTTCACCTCTGTGCCTTACTGTTCCCATCTGTAAAAAGGAATATAATAATATATTTATATCATAGGATTATATGGTACAGAAAGAAAAAAAAAATCAGTCCCTTTATCCCAAATTGCATTTGCTTGATTTCTTTGTTTGCTGGTTTGAGGTTTTGTTTCTCTTCCTTCCACAAAAGGAAAAGAAGCAAAATATCGTGCAGTAGTTAAAAAATGGGCTCTGGAACTAGATTTGATGTTTAGTCGCCCAGTCAAGTCCAACTCTTTGTGACCCCATGGACTACAGCACACCAGGCTTCCCCATCCTTCACCATCTTCCAGAGTTTGCCCAAATTCATGTCAATTGAGTATGCGATGCCATCCAACCATCTCATTATCTGTTGTCCCCTTCTTCTCCTGCCCTCAATCTTTCCCAGCATCAGGGTCTTTTTCAATGAGTCAGCTCTTCACATCAGGTGGCCAGCTTCAGCATCAATCCTTTCAATGAATAAGTGTGTTGTGTTAGTCGCTCAGTTAATCCTGACTCTCTGCGACCCCATGGACTGCAGACCCCCAAGGCTCCTCTGGCCATGAGATTTCCCAGCAAGGATACTGAAGTGGGTTGCCATTTCCTTCTCCAGGGGATCTTCCCAACCCAGTGATCGAACCTGGGTCTCCTGCACTGCAGGCAGATTCTTTACCAACTGAGCTACAAGGGAAGCCCCCATATTCAGGGTTAATTTCCTTTAGGATGGACTGGTTTGATCTCCGTGCTGTCCAAGGGACTCTCAAGAGTCTTTTGCAGCATCACAATCCAAAAACATCAATTCTTCAGCACTCAGCCTTCTTTATGGTCCAACTCTCACATCCACACATGACTACTAGAAAAACCACAGCTTTGACTAGACAGACATCTGTCAGCAAAATGATGTCTCTGCTTTTAAATACACTGTCTAGGTTTGTCATAGCTTTTCCTCCAAGGAGCAAGCATCTTTTAATTTCACGGCTTCAGTCACTGTCCCCAGCCATTTTCGAGCCCAAGAAAATAAAAACTGCCACTGTTTTCATTTTCCCCTCATCTATTTGCCAGGAAGTGATGGGACCATATGCCATGATCTTAGTTTTTTGAATGCTGAGTTTTAAGCCAGCTTTTTCACTCTTCTCTTTCACCTTCATTAAGAGGCTCTTTAGTTCCTCTTTGCTTATATGACCTAGGTCACTTTTCTAAACCTCAAGCACAATGCAAAATGCCTCTCTCCTCTTTGACAAACAGGTGATATAATGCTGAAAAGATTAAATAAATTAATGTATACAAATGCTTAGGAAATACCTGATATACAGTAAGAGTGCACTAATAAGACAATAAGAAATAAATTGTATCTACTTGCTAAGAAGGACATCATTATGAACATCACTGTTACTCTATCTGCTACAATACAGAGCAGCTGTGAGTTAATTGTCTACTTGCTGCTTTCTCTGCCCCTTTTCCTCACTAGCAGCTATCTTTATAACAGGAAAAACCTGAGGACAGACAGGTGATTATGCCCTAACAAGTTGGGTTCCTACAGAAGCTATATGAGTCTTCAAAAATCATGATTCTACTCCTGCAGTTTATATGTGATGAAACAGTGACCTCCCCAAATCTCCCAGGCTTTTTAAAACTGAACTGAGACCTAAATTAGATAAACTGATTATGAGTTCAGCACTCTTAACAGAGGCTAGTACACATCTCTTCTAGGAAGGAAAACAGGCTGTACACTAGCTATCTTACTCCCAACTCCAAAGCCAAATTTAGGTTTCTGGCTATTTGAACTTTCTAAAATCTGCCATCTCTATGTAATACAGTTTTATATTAATGAATATACACATATTCACCTAAAAGAGGAGGAAAGCATTAGTCATGAATCACTCCTAGATATAACCAAGAGGGGGCATTTGTGACAAAGATAACATAGTAGACAATCATGCTTGTGCATAAATACAACAGTAGTCATTACGTGGCTTACAAACTACCCTGTATTGCGTTAATGATGCTATCTTTCCAACTAGTCCAATTTTTTTTGTCTTGATGATGTTCAAATTACCTATACCTAGTGTTTTCCAATATATACATTCAATTAAAAGAAAAATCACTAATTGACAAACTGTGATATTTTCCTAGCACTCTTCTTTAATCAAGTAGTAAGTCTACATTTTTGAAAGAAAAAATACATGGAAAATTATTTACCTAAGCATTGTGAAGTACACAGCTACAGAAGTAGCAAACATAAAGTATAACACACAATATGAAATTTTCAGAATTCCAAACTCCATTTGAAAACACAAAATGACAAATACATGTTCATAAGAGCAATATACAACAAAATGTATAAGAAATAAATTGAGAGAATATCTGAAGTAAAATACAACACTAGTCAGTAAATATTAGTAAGAATCACTACAACAAATGATTAAGACATGCTTACCTTTCTACACATTGTAAAAAGTATTTCTAAATGCTTTGGATTTGACAGTAAAGTATTTGTATCTATTGTCACATAATTATGCAAAAGAGGCATCATGTCTGGAAAAAAATTCAAACTCTCAATGAGATTTGAGTAACAGAAGTAGAAACAAATTATTACCACTGAAAGCACATTTCTATAACACCCACACATTACTATCTTCCCTTGCAACCACAAAACGCTAGAAACTAAAATGGTACACCTGCCCTATTTATTGATGAGGGAAATGTGGATCAGAAAGACTAAAATTCTCATCATTTACTGTAGTGATTGTTATGAATTTTCTTCTTTTTCCCCATAGCACTCATTACCATCTGACACACTCTATTTGCTTATTTGTCTGTGTGTTTCCTAGCCTCTCCCACCCCATACTAGAATGGGAGTGTCAAAAGGGCAAGGGCTGTCTATTTTGTTCTCTGATGTACTGCTGAGCTTAGAACAATGCTTGGAATATAGCTGACATTCAGAAAATATTAATTAATATATGGATATATACTTTGACTGCAAAGTAATTTAAGATTCAGTAGGAAATATAGCCTTCCTACTATGACCTCTATTCCTAGGGCTGAAAAACAGTCCTACAACAGCACCACTCAACAGGAAAGGAAGAACAATTATTTTCTGATTAGTACTGGAATCATATCTTTATGTCAAGTGTCAAAGGAAATAATACCTATCTAGACACAGAACAGAAAAAAGGTCACATGCTCAAAGTCATACCTGTAAAATATTCAAAACAATCCTGCTGAAAAACCTCATATAATATACCTAGAAGCTGCCACATTTGAGGAGAAATACCATGGCAAGTTAAACTGTAAGCCAATGAAAGAATTTCTTCATAGAATTCTAGAAAGAAGAAAATCTCTTGTTAGAATCCTAGGAAATAGCAAATATTAAACACAAAGACCACACAGAAGAGGATTTAGGCTATATACTCACACATATCTTATATCTAACATACTTTTGAGCATTTGTTTCTCAGCTCCCGTCTCTTGCTACCTCTATTAATATTTGCCATCTTCCATTTCTCACTAAGATCTGCCCCCTACTCAATAAGATAAGGCAAAGATTTGTTTTTACTAAACTTACTTGCAATACTGAAAAGTTATATTTTTTGTGTTTTGTAATATAGAAAATAAAGTTTATATATATAACGATATTAGAAATGGATACAAGAAGGAACAGATTACTGTATATCTCTCATGCACAGGATTTTAAATTTACAAACAATGTTCTTCAGAGAACTTAATTCATCTAGGCAAAAATATCCATCTGCCACATGTATTTTTTTACAAACTATATACAGAATATATTTTGCCAATTTACAAAGCTTGTAAAATTAGTACAATATTTTTCAACTTACTTCAAGATAATTATACTTACTATTAAAAGAGTCCAAAGGGAATATTCTTGCATTTGTACATATACTTATTATTCTTACCCTCATTCAGAAGGAAATTATATCTAAACATACAATCAGAAAACACAAACCTCAACACAAAAATTTCAAAAATTTCCTACCATGTCACTGAACAAAAAAGTCTAACTTCAAAGTTTTGGGGGTTTTTTTTCCTTCTTTTTATTCAAGGGAACCAATATTCACCCTGGAAGCTTGGATAAAATTTTTTTCTGTAACATTATTCAAAATTTAATATATTTAAAAGCTAGCAATACAGATATTTGCCTTACCAAAACCAAAATAAGATGGAAATCATAGATACTGGGAAATAATTTATGAAAAACAATCACTTGAAATACAACCAATGGCCTGAATAAAAAATTTCTGAAAGTTCTGTTCAGGAAAGCAAATGCCTCTTCCTAACGTGAAGCCTGAAAGAAAGAAAACAGGTCCAGTATTTCCTTTCACGCTCTTGATGGCTGCAGCCTGTGTACTTTACCAGGCCACTCAAGATGCTCCAGACCAGGACTATGAATCTGAGGGAGAAACTAAAAGGCACAAAGGTGTTCCAGTTCTTTTTGTGTGGGTTGGGGAAGAATTAGGAGGATCACGGTCTGTGCTGGGAGTCTGGACTATGGTGGGCAGCAGTGTAGGACCCAGTGTTGAGCAAGGCAGCACTGGCCTTCTAAGCAGACCATTTTTATGGCAGAATCCTGGCTGACTCTGGCCAACTCCAGCCTTCCCACTGCTTTGGTGAGCTACCAATATCCTTCCACCAATTCCATTTATGTTTAAATTAACCAGAAGCCTTTTCATTTAGTCTCAGCCAAGACAACGGACTGTTAGGGTAGGATGGTTGTACTAACTTTCACTTAATTGCATAAGATAGAGCAGTTAAATCAGTAATGGATAAGCCTAGCTTTTAATAATACATGAAGTTCATGAGTAAATTAGCAATAAAAACAGGCAAAAGAAGGAGGCAAAAGTGGGACAGTGGAAAAAGACTGGACCATGGACATAAACATGGTCAGACTGCTATGGCGGGGTCCTGCGCTAACAGCCCACAATATCTTCCAGAATTAGGTTTTTTTGTTTAACCTAAAATCTTACATGACTAAATATTGGTTCAAAAAAAGGGCCATTAACAGTTCATACGTCACAGCTAAAAACACAAGAGAGATCACCTTGGCACTAGAGATGAGATTAGAGGAGGCAGGCGATTGAAACTCTTCTCCTCTGCCCACCACACTGAAGAAATAGGCCCCTTTTCTTTTCTTAACATCCTGATGTTGTAATTGCCCAAATCACAAATCTGGTACAGGCAGATTACAGAAAGTTGGTATAAACCACCTCACTTTGCTTTACTTCACAGTTTTTTCCTCAAGACTACTTACTTTAAATGTCAATGGAGATTACATACTTGTGACTTATTTATTGTGCTCGCTTCGGCAGCACATATACATACTTGTGACTTATTTATTTTACATCTAGTGATTTGTACCTCTTAATCCCCTTGACCTGAAATAGTTACAAGCATGTAATGCACAGCATAGGGGATATAGTCAGTATTTTATAACTTTGTATATAGCATATTCTATAAAAATATCCAGTTACTATGTTGTAAACCTGAAACTAATATAATATTGTAAGTCAATACAATATTCACATGTTTGAAGTCCTTAAGAGAAATTTTTTAACGGAGAATTTTCAGTTGCAATCTCTTCACAAATAAGGACATAAGTGAATATATTCTTTCTGAATGTATCAGAATCTCTGACGTTATGGTCCAGGAAGTTTCATTTTAACTAGATCCTCAGTGATTCTTATCCACATCAAAGTTTGAGAACTACTGCTTTATAGTGATGATTTCAAAAGTAAGGACTACTTTGGCAAAGTAGAGGATAATCCTCTAAAATGGGAGAAGAATGTATTAGAACACTTAGCAGAGATAAACATATTCATTTATATTTAATCTCATGTTTTACATTTCTCTTTATGTAAGTAAATGTAGCACAGTAACATGTATATTGCATATAAATATATTTTTGAGTATTATTCACATACATTAGAAGTACATGCTCAACTTTTTACTAATGGTGTGAATGATAAAAGTTTGGAGATGGCTGCTCTAATGTGGTAACCTGCTTTTGTTCCATCTTTCTATCTCTTACACTATACAGACTACATTTCTCTCCTACCTACAACACTTGTGGCTGGTATCATCAAAATGCTTGGATACTATGAAAACTTGCCTCTTCTACAAATCCCAATCAATCTGTAACATCCAGCATTAACTACTGACTCTACTCAGAAGTCAGGTACCATAACATAACAGAATAACAATTAATTCACACTTCTGACAGAATATACGCCTATCATCTCACATTTTTCAATCCTAAAGTAACCTCACCTGAACTTCATCTTAGTTCTTCCTTTCTAAAAAAATTTAAAATCTCTGTTCTTTAAAAACTCCAACAACAACAATTCTTAATTGGGTATGTTAAACTTACCTCTAAATGAAAATCTAGAAATCTAATATTAGAAAGTATATCTAAAAATTGAACAGAAGGCAAGCTTCTCTTTCTAAAAACTGTCCATCTTGTTGAACTTGAAGGGCTAAAACGCATTTTTCATCAAATTTAAAAATAGTCTCAATTTACCTTTTTATTCTATCTTAGAACTTACCAATTACATGTTTCTGTAAAACAAGATCAATGATCCGTAGACAGATATTCTCTAACTGCTGAGTAACCTAAAGACAAATTTTAAACATTTAGTTTAAAATTCATCATAACCCTTAATTTAATCTATAAATTCAATATTATCCCAATAGAAATACCAATTGGATTTTTTTTCCAATAGGACCTTTTTGAGAAGAGAAATTAGTTAATTCTAAACTCCATGTGAAAAATTAAACATGAAAGAATAACCAGGAAATTTCTGAAAAGTGGGCTAATGATGGAAATGTGGGTTAAAATCATAATAAAATTACAAGTTTAATTAATTCCTTATCTCATATTTTATACCAAAATCAATTCCGAATATGTCTAGGACTTCAATATGAATACTTAAGCCATAAAAATACTAGCCATCTTTTCCAGATTTCTAATTTTACTCTTCATACATTAAGTATTTGTACACATGTAAATATTCCTTTTAAGGAAATCTTGCTTTCAAAGTTTGCTTTTAGTAAGTCAAAGTTCAAAATCATAAGACTGGCAGTCAGGAGACCAAGATTCCAGTCCTTGTTTTGCCTCTAGTTACCTATGACCTTGGCAAAGCCATCTAGCTAAAGGCTTTAAGATTTTTCATCTGTAGGTTAGGGAAGCTAGATTTGATTAGTGTATCTCAAATTTAAACCATTCCTCCTTTGATAATCACAATAAGTTCACATGCTCCTTTAACTTTATTTGAAATTTAAAATAAAAGTAATACCAAGAATTAAAAAATTAAAACAGATAGATAAAATGGTGGGGTTTTTTTTTTTTAAACTAATCCTGATGCTTATCCTACTACTGCCCATCCTCCAGAAAAACATATTTGGGAAAACGTGACAAGACGATTTCTAAGTTCTCTTTAAATTTAAAATACAAGTCCTACATATAAGGGGAAAGAATAATCCTTAAGTATACATGCAATTTAACTTGAAAATCTCACCATTACAGAGAGGCCCATATATTTTCAACAAGGACACAGCAATACAATAGTGAATATGGAAACAAAAATTCACATTAAGTCTTTTAGGCAAAGAAAGGCCTGCCTAGGAGAAGAAAATTGAACCATTTTTAAGAACCTGGTAAGCATCCACTAGTATGCAATAAACACAGGATAAGTCAACAGCCACAGGGTTTAACAATGCTATTTAAAGAACCAGCACCTGCTTCCTAAGTCCCACTGTATAAAACGAGAGCTGCCACCATTGCCAAACAAGTCAACTGTGCTGGCAGAAGTAATGAACACAAATCTAATTTAAGTAAAGGCTATATAATATATAATACTTGGGGAGGAGAGCAGCAGGTTTTAGGTAGGCAATAATTGATACATTATCATGATATATCAAGTGACTGCAAATATAAATCTACAAATTCCCAACTCCGTGAACATGAGATACCACCTGAACCTTGAGCTCTACTTCTGCAAACGGGCACCACCACTACCTGCTCTATGGCAGGGCGACACGGTAACATTCTATCAGCTAATGGAGAAGGGAAGACAGAGGATGAGATGGTTGATGGCATCACTGACTCGATGGACGTGAGTTTGAGCAAGCTCTGGGAGCTGGTGATGGACAGGGAAGCCTGGCGTGCCACAGTCCATGGGGTTGCAAAGAGTTGGACACTACTGAGCGACTGAACTGAACTGAACAGAACAGATATGAGAGTGCTTGACAAACATCTGTGCAAATTCTTAATCCAATGTTGTTCTGGAATTCAGCCTAGGAAAGATGATGTTTTAAGCTCTCTTCCCTTCCATTCTCAGGTATTTGTTACATCAGTATTTTGTTCTATTATTTAAAATTTGCCTCTGTAACTGAATGGCAGTCTCTCTCTACCAAGAAGACCAGACTGTGGATTCCAAACAGGGAGGCTTATGTCTTATTAAATTTGGTTTTCCCCCAAGCCTACCCTGGCATATAGCAGATGTGATGAACTGAACTAAGTTTAGCAAAAGAGATATACTATATACTTTAAAACCACATGCAACATTTCCCTTGAATCATTTTTATACTTTTCTTTAAGATTTGAGGGTAATTTTTAAAATCCAGCAACATAAACAGCAATTTAAAGGTCAAGACTTTAAAATTCATGACCAATGATAATATAAATTTCACTTACTATAATTACATCATAAAACACAAGGAAATCCTACCTCTTTGTGATCTTCTACAACTGTCAAGATAGTATCAATGGTATGTAAAATTCCCATAGCCATTACAGTCTTGTCTTCAACTTCTTCATATTCATCACTTTGAAGAACTTTGCCAAATATCTCAGCCTACAAAAATAGCAAACACATTCAACAATTAGTACTGCTACATTCACGCTTCTCTATGAGAAGTGAGCAAAAGGACAGTGTCACATCTCCAAATGCCACCACTGCTCAAACTTTAAGATATGCAGTTTGCCAAGTGAATATCGATGATAGAAACTGTCATGTTTTAAATGTAGCCATTTTGCCCTTATCTAGTCACTAAAGTGGAATATATATTAGCTATTATAATCAAACAGCAAATATTCTGGTTGACATTAAATAAATAAATCCAAAATCTAGGAAAACTGGAAAGTATATATAGAAATTATTAACTGCCAGAATTATTAGAGCAAATAGTTTTACATTAGCATTTCAGTTACATACAAACTAAACTTCAAATTTTGGAGTTTAATTTACTTAGATAATTCAAAGCCTTTATACCAAACTAACATAAAACTGTGCCGTCTTACCAAATGCTGAGTCATATCCACAGCAATTGAGGCTACCTCTTGGCTGTATTCACATATCATCTTCTGGATAACATTAGTAACATCATCATTTTCTGTCTCTCTAACAATGTGCAACAGCTCCTGCATAATAGGCCTTACGTGTGGCTTCATATATTCCTTGGCTAATGCAATAAAAAACAAACTCAGTAAAAAATATTAGCTATTCACAAGTGGTGAAGGAAAGTTATTTGGTCACAAGGTAAATGACACAGGGTAACAGGTTCCAGACACATATTCACCTGATGGTTAAGTTATAAAGTTGTACCAAAATAGTGTTCACCAATGTATCCATTTTCCCATGAGTAACATATGGACAATCAGTCCTGCACTGTAGAGAACTCTCCTGCCCCAAACGCCAGTAGCTCCCTTGAGAAATTTGAACCACACATGTCCTCTGTCATCAGCATGACTTATCAAACGTGAATATGACAGCATGATACAAGTGTAAAAATCATTTACATAAAGACTATGCCTAACATTGATGATGCTCATTCCCTCTTTCACCCCATCTCTAACCACCCTTCTCCCCACATGTGTTTATCTAATACTGCCTTCCATTGGAACAGTGTTGCATAGGGATAAAGGCTAATGTTCTTCATAATGCAAAATTTACTTTCAAAGGTTTATCTGAATTTTGAACAGAGCATTCTTCTACACAAACAAATGTGATATGTATTATCACTCACTAGAAATGCGACTTGCTACTTTCAGAACTGGCAGAATCACAGAATCCTAGAACTGAAAGGAATCTTGAAGCCATCTAGTCCAATCCCCCTAAATTTAAATATATGGCAATCTAAGCCTTGACAGATCACATGTCTTGCCCAGGTCTAGACAGCAAGGCAGGAGTTCAGTCAAATATAGACCCCTAGGTCTCTCGATTCCCCATCTACCCTAATATTTAACAATCATCAACTTGTTTCCTAATCTCAAATTTTTCTGGAAACCACAGTTAACAGACATTCCTAAAAGTGGCAAGAATAACTGCCTATAAAATTCTGAGGGGGCAAAGCTCAAAAACCCAAACTCTGAACTTTAAGACTTAGGGACTTATCTCCGTTAGGCAAGGAAGTAAACAAAACTATTTGAGAAGACCACATCAAAATAATTATTTAATTAAAAATACCTTCTAAAAACTGTATTTTTATTCTAAATTAAATTTTAAATATTTTTAATTTAATAATAATTTTGGCTTTACCTTGTGTCTGGTTAGAAATTAATGACTGAAGAGCAAGGGCAGCTTCAACCTTGACAGGCATCTCCTTATCCTCAATCAGGCTCTTCTTTGCTAGATCAACTGCATTTCTTAGGTTGAGCTCATTATGAAATTTCAAAGAACTGAATGCATGAAGTACCCAACAGGACTATGTTATAAGGAAAAAGTTAGTAGGAAACTATTAGGATTATGGTTTTATGTAATAATGAATATAAAAACTTCTCACTAAGTAAAACATCATTAATCCTAGCATGTACTATTTATTTATTTGTTTTTTGGAGGGAAACATATTAGTCTCAGATGCTAACTTCAGGATTCCATATTTCTTATAAGAAAGGCAATTTTATTACTTCTAAATTACCTTTATGCAGTATCATTATTCATAAGGTAAAACAGAGCCAAACTTAAGTGTCTCTAAAAACAAAAATCCTGTCAATGCTTTAATAAATATTATGACTTACAACTTATTATTTATATGCAAAGGCACTACAAGCTAGTGTTGACATTCATTTACTGGTCTTCATAGCAAATGAATAAAATATTATTTTACCTTACACTAATCAGTTTAAGAAACTTGACTTTTTCAGTCACAGAAGATAAAAAAAAAAAATTTAACCTTGTATAAATTACCAAACTTTAAACTATTAGACCACTAAATCATATTATTTTTTTTAATCTCTATTGCATAAAATACAATTGACAGTAAATAATTTGTATGACTAACAACTTGCAAGAGACATACAATTAATAGTCTAAAAATAGTAGCCTACTTACAAAAATACTTGTGCACCCTCTACATTTCTAACCTACATTCACACAAATATTTCTCTAGTGACTATTATCTCTTTTTAAACATTTTTATTTATTTATTTATTTGATTGCTCCAGGTCTTAGTTTCCTGATCAGGGACTGAACCCAGACACCCGGAATTGGGAGCACAGTCTTAACAACTGGACCACCAGGGAAGTCCCTGTTTTCCATTTATAAAATGCTTTGGTGTGTACAAGGCATTGTTAACATATATTGGTTTTAGCAAGATGTTTTGTTGTGTTGATATAGTTACAAAAATAAGCACTAGGCTGTTAAATGTTCTATTTTTATTTCTCCATAAAATATACTGCCTCTATAAATAATATATATCTAGAATACAAATAAATTTACATGGATTATTATTTTCTCCATGTTATTAAAGTGTATCTAATTATTATACTGGGAATCATAATAAGACTTTAGCCAAAATATAATTTTCATGCTGTTTTGGACACTAAAAATTAATCAGCTTATGAATTTACATGGTGCCACTGCTGCAGCATCAGCCCTCTCACAGCATGCTCTGCATATGCAGCAAGTGAGGCAAGGCCAGGGGCAGCTTGAGTTAAAATCTATACATCCCTTTACTTACTCATTTGCTCCTTATTCAGCTGTTATAACTATAAAAGACATTCTCACTGACTTCATTTTGTCCCAGTGTGGTAAAAGATAAACCTGTCCAAAAGTATTTAGTTCAATAATTAACTTACAAATGAAGATTTCGAGACATTAAAATGAAATATGGAAAAACCTACTCTGGCTCGAAGGTATCCCAGGTTAGACAACAGTAATGGAAACACATGATTCTGCAGCAATAACTCCATTTGGTCCTTGAATAAACTCTTCTGTTAGGAAACAGAAATTGAGTTTAACTTATTAATGTCTTTCTCATATGTAAAAATCACTTCCTAATAAAGCATGTTTCTTATGATTTACACTTAATATATTTCTATTTAAATTTTGAAAAATTATTGACCTACATATTGCATGTTTTAAAACGAGAGAAATAGTCTTTAGATAAGAAACTTGGTATCGACTGATCTTTCTAGAAACAACACTAAAGTTATTTTGTATCATCTTTTTTATATGGCAACAGTTTCATACTGAAAAAGTAAATAAAAAGTCATTTTAAATGTAAGAAACAAAAATGACAGAAAGAAAAATATTTAGTCAACTCAATTATGCAGAGTCAGCAATTTTAAATTATCCATAATTTTCATATTATCTCATTTGCCTATGCTTCACAGTGTTATTAAGTAAATTAAATTTGAGTAGCTTAACCTTCAGTAAAATATCAGCTAGGGAACCAATCACATGCAGGGCTCCATCTTTCTTCCTAGGATCAAAGTTCGGGTCTGTTAGGATTTGATAACAGAATGCCATCATTTTTGGCAACACCTAAAGAAATAGAAGAATCCACTTTAGTCTACATGAGCTTTCACTGCTTTACTATCATATTAAAAACGATGTACAAATTTTCAAAAATAAAGACATTTTATTGTGTTCTATCAAGCAACTACAATTAAGAAAAAATATTCCTTTTCCCTTACGAGGACACAAAAACTTTTTAAAGTTACCGATTATAACTACTAACATAATTTTTCAATTACAAGGGGCATTCATTAGAATGTCAAATCAACACAGGTCACCTTTCAGTTTTGTATTTAAAAAGAATAACTACATACCTCTTTTCTTTTCTTTGCAGCAGTATATAAGAGAGTCTGGGCTGCTGTGGTAGGAGAAGCATAATCTTCGAAAATATCTAAGATTTTAGATTTTAAAAGTTTAAACCATGTGAGCAAAAATACAACTACTTATTATAGAGTTTAAACCTGACTGACCACTATTCCAAAACCAAGAAATAGAACAGTCCATATATAACACTGGTTATAAGCTAAGAACATATCATGACTGCTCTCATACACAGCAGTATTTATCAAACTCTACAGGTTGTCCTTTTAAATAATCATATTAAAACAAACAATACAGTTCCACTGAGGATAGGAAAAATGCTTTACCTCTATTGGAAAACAATAAAAATTTATTTACTGCTTACTGTGTGCCGGCACTGTTCTAAGCTCTGGGGATACAAATATCAAAAAAGGTTCTCATGTTGCTTACACAATAAGAGAAGGAAACCAACTGATTACACACAAATGCACCAAGACAGTACAGCTGAAAACACTGCATGTCAGAGAGGTTAAGTAATTTGTCCACAATTACACAGTAAACGTCTGGCCCAGTATTCACATCCAGACTGTCTTAACATCAAGGCCTGAGCTCCTTCAGTCTGTTTTTTTTTTAATATTTATTTATTTATTTGGCTGTGCTGGGTCTTAGCTGTGGCACGTGGGATTTTTGATCTGTGTTGGGGCATGTGGGATCTTCTAATTATGGCATGCAGGATCTAGTTTTCTGACCAGGGATCAAACCCAGGCCCCCTGCATTGGGAGCATGGAGTCTTAGCCACTGGACTGGCAGATAAGTCCCTCTCCTTCAGTTTTTACCAAATCTATAAACACCATTATTAATATCAGTCAATATACTTAGCAGTATTTTGTTCATATAAATAACTGCACATGACAAAAATATAAAAAGACTAGTAATTGTTCTCCCCAATAGCTTTCTAAAAGTAAAATACACACAATAGCCACTGCGTTCTAGACCACAGAAGGAAACTATTAACAAAAAAAAGACACAGACTTGAGTTATCCATACTCTCTTTTCATCAATAAAATGTAACACACAGAGCTCTTAACCATTATATTTTCCAAAACCTGAGGTACTTTCTTATTTAGTAGGAAGAATAAGTAAAATAATAGTAGTTTTCTGAAAGCTAAACAAATACACTGCACTTATAAAAATTCACAGGTATAGAAAAGCCAAACACTAAAAAGAATGCCTTAAAGAAGACAGAAGAAAGATTGGCAGATAATTCTGTGCTATTTAAAGCACTGTGCATGTGCCCAGTCACTTCAGTTGTGTCCGACTACGCAATCCTATGGGCAGTAGCCCACCAGGCTCCTCTGGCTGGAGGTGAATCACCTGCCAGGATTCACCAGGCAGGAATACCGGAGTGGGTTACCATGCCTTCCTTCAGAGGAAAACCGACACAGGGATCGAACCCTCGTCGCTTAAGTCTCCTGCATCAGCAGGTAGGTTCTTTACCACCAGTGCCACCTGGGAAGCCCATTATAGGCATTAGGAAGGCGGATTAATAAAGCCTACAATATGTATCATGACTTTCAAAAGGAAATGAGAGGACGGAAGGACAAACCAGTGTGCAAATACTTTTGTATTTACTTTTCTCATACTTTTGCTTTTCCTGTACTTTGTCTCCAAGGGAAAGAGGCACTTCCTCACTTACTGAATCAAATAGTACTAAACATAAAGCACTGGGAAAACAATACTGAAAACAATCTGGCATCTATACTAGTAGGCTTAACTCAGGTAACCAAAAACACATGTCCCAAGAACAGGAAAGCACTGTGGTCACAGCTCCTTCAGCATGCCTTAGGTAATGCTAGTCTTATCATTATTTATTTCAACATTTCACTGAACGTAAACTAGTGCCAAGAACTTGCAAAGTAGTGTAGGGCTGTAGAAGGGATAGAGAATGCAAAATAAAGCAAATAAGATAGACCACCAGACAGTCAATACTGAAATCAGATGGGCTGATTCTTTGCCATCAAAGATGGAGAAGCTATATTATAGTCAGCAAAAACAAGACCAGAAGCTGACTGTGATTCAGATCATGAGCTCCTTATTGCCAAATTCCAACTTAAACTGAAGAAAATAGGGAAAACTGCTAGACCATTCAGGTATGACCTAAATCAAATCCTTACGATTATACAATGGAAGTGACAAATAGACTGAAGGAATTAGATCTGATAGACAGAGTGCCTGAAGAACTATGGACAGAGGTTCATGACATTGTACAGGAAGCAGTGATCAAGAACATCCTCAAGAAAAAGATATACAAAAGGAAAAATGGTTGTCTAAGGAGGCCTTACAAATAGCTGTGAAAAGAAGAAAGCTAAAGGCAAAGGAGAAAAGGAAAGATATATCCATTTGAATGCAGAGTTCCAAAGAATAGCAAGGAGAGATAAGAAAGCCTTCCTCAGTGATCAATGCAAAGAAATAGAGGAAAACAATAGAATGGGAAAGACTAGAGATCTCTTCAAGAAAATTAGAGGTACCAAGGGAACATTTCACACAAAGACGTGCATAATAAAGGACACAAATGGTATGGACCTAAAAAAAAGCAGAAGGTATTAAGGAGATGTGGCAAGAAACACAGAAAAACTATACAAAAAAGATCTTCATGACCCAGATCACCATGATGGTGTGATCACTCACCTAGAGCCAGACATCCTGGAATATGAAGTCAAATAGGCCTTAGGAAGCATCACTACAAAGCAAGTGGAGGTGATGGAATTCCAGTTGAGCTATTTCAAATCCTAAAAGATGCTGCTGTGAAAGTGCTGCACTCAATATGTCAGCAAATCTGGAGAACTCAGCAGTGGTCACAGGACTGGAAAAGGTCAATTTTCATTCCAATCCCAAAGAAAGGCAATGTCAAAGAATGTTCAAACTACTGCACAATTGCACTCATTCACATGCTAGCAAAGTAATGCTCAAAATTCTCCAAGTGAGGCTTCAGCAGTACGTGAACCGAGAACTGCCAGATGGTCAAGTTGGATTTAGAAAAGGCAGAGGAATCAGAGATCAAATTGCCAACAGCTGCTGGATCATCAAAAACGCAAGAGAATTCCAGAAAAACATCTACTTCTGCTTTATTGATTAAACCAAAACCTTTGCCTATGTAGATCACAACAAACTGTGGAAAATTCTTCAAGAGATGGGAATACCAGACCACCTTACCTGCCCCCTGAGAAATAAGTATGCAGGTAGAAGCAACAGTTAGAAAAAGACATGGAGCAACAGACTGGTTCCAAATTGGGAAAGGAGTACATCCAGACTATATATTGTCAACCTGCTTATTTAACTTATTATAGTCAATAGTGCATCATGCGAAATGCCAGGCTGGATGAAGCACAAGCTGGAATCAAGACTGCTGGGAGAAATATCAATGATCTCAGATACACAGATGACACCACCCTTATGGCAGAAAGGGAAGAAGGACTAAAGAGCCTCTTGATGAAAGTGAAAGAGGAGAGTGAAAAAGTTGGCTTAAAACTCAACATTCAGAAAACTAAGACCATGGCATCCAGTCCCATCACTTCATGGCAAATAGAGGGAGAAACAATGGAAACAGCACCAGACTTTATTTTCTTGGGCTCCAAAATCACTTCTGATGGTGACTGTAGCCATGAAATTAAAAGGCGCTTGCTCCTTGAAAGAAACGTTATGACAAATCTAGACAGCATATGAAAAAGCAGAGACATTACTTTGCCAACAATGGTCCATATAGTCAAAACCATGGTTTTTCCAGTAGTCATGTGAGGATGTGAGAGTTGGACCATAAGAAAGCTGAGCACTGAAGAATTGATGCTTTTGAACTGTGGTGCTGGAGAAGACTCTTGAGAGTCCCCTGGACTGCAAGGAGATCAAACCAGTTAATCCCAGAGGAAATCAGTCCTGAGTATTCATTGGAAGGACTGATGCTGAAGCTGAAATTGCAATATTTTGGCCACTTGATGCAAAGAACTGACTCTCTTGAAAAGACCCTGATCCTAGGGAAGATTGAAGGCAGGAGGAGAAGGGGACGACAGAGGATGAGATGGCTGGATGGCATCACCAACTCACTGGACATGAGTTTGAGCAAGCTCCGGGAGTTGGTGATGGATAGGGAAGACTGGCATGCTGCAGTCCATGGGGTCGCAAAGAGTAAGACACAACTGAGCGGCTGAACTGGACTGAACTGAAGATAGTCCCTGCCCTCAGATAGCTTCTTCACTGTGGGAGAAACAGAGGTACACAAATAACATCTTCCTATACTAACTGCCTGAGTATCCATGAAGTGATTAATTCATACTGGGAATAAAGGGGAATGAATTCAGGCAACCTACAGAGTTCAGCAGCTTCCAGGAAGATGCAAGGCTAAAAGGACCCACAGAGAACAGGGCCACACACTGGTGTCAACATAAGTAATTTCATTCCCCTGAGGAACATTTAATCCCTATGATAAGGACACAAGCTATATTGGGGGCATTCCTAAAATATGCAGAAATGCAAAGAATCTCCCAGACCAAGAACAAACCCAAATGAGTAGCCCAAAAGGCACAGAAAGGAATGGACTCTGCAGATCAGCATCACAACAGAAAGAGCTGTATAGAGACAGTACTGCTTCAGCATCCTTGAGAGGGTTAGATGAGTAAAGTAGCTTCTCATCTCAAGACCACTGGCTCAACAGAACATCAAACTTTCACGAGTTTTGGAGTTTATCATGCAAAGCAGAACTTTGGGAATTTCACAAAGTAATTAATCTACTTAAAAGTATAAATTTAGTTATACTACTTCATATAACCAGGAACTGATTGGAATAAATCATCTCAATTACCAAATTTCATCCTTATATATTCATATGGATCTTCCTGCCACAGTTCTTCATCCTCATCTTTATAGCACATCACAGAAAAAATCACATCTTCAGAGATATTCTAAGAGAAAAAACAAACCAATAAATGGATATAGAGTATTCACATTTGGGGAATATCAATAATGAAAGGCTTTAGTAAGTTAGTTTTCCAAACTGTCATATTAATGTTTCTAACAGATCTTTAAGATCTGTATTAACATTAAACAAAATCTATCCTAGACACCAAAGATAAAGTAAAAGAATTTGCTTTACTTTTCAGCTACCATCTTAAGAGATTACAGAATTAAAGAATGCATCCTTTGAGAGGAAAAATTTAGTTCCTAACATCTTCAAATTATCCAGTTATCTGTATGTAAATATTACTTTATCAATGGTCCTAATTTTTCATTGATTTGTTCCTTAATAACAATGCTGAATTCTACCTTTAAGTAAAATTGATACAAACAGAAAACTTTAACTTTTGCTGTAGAATTTAACAACCTAAAAAGAGAAATAAAAACCTACAAAAGAAAATGGTCATGTATCAGGCTGCATTTCCTACAAAAGAACACTACCTTAACTACAGCCCTGGCGACTGTTTTCAAAATGCTATTATACAAAATACCTCAATTGATCCTAGCAACTTGCAGGTAAGGAGGGTAGAAAAATACTATCTGACATAGCAGAGGAAAAACAGAGGCTAAATGAGATTCCAACCAAGATCAACTCCTTTAACTTGAAGGCCTCATTCTTCTCAAATATTTAAACTTCTAAACTCTTATATGAAACATAAGATACTCTTCTGAAATTATTCATGCAAACAAAAATGTTAAATATAAAATATTGGATTAGTTAATACTGACCTTGTCTAGAAAATTTTTAACCAGAGGATAATTTCGGAGACCTGCTCACTGACACTAACCTGTATGTGTGGCTTCATCTGCTTCCAGGTCACGGAATGAACAATTCCTTGGTTGAGATAGTTGAAAGCTTGCTGAAGAACACGGGGCGCTACATACTCTTTCTGCCTATACTGGTCTAAAATTTTTAGTAGTACCTACAGGAAAACAGGAAGAGAAAACATAGGAAAACAAAAGTTAACAGGAGGGGCATTTTAGGCATGACATAAAATCAAGCCAGAGGTTACACAGATAAAAAAGAACTAACAGATTTTTAGAGAAATAAATATTTTGTGAGAAAGCACATGAGCTTACTGAACTGAAAGGTATCTCACTGTGATTTTCTGCCATTTACCCTACTTCTAACCTGTGGAAGTATTCAAAATAAGTCTATATTCTATTCCACATAATAGCTCTTCAAATAAATTAAAACTACTGTGAAATAATAAACGTGACTAAATAAATACTGAAAACACTATATCCATTTAAAGAGAGACACCATAAGCAGATTTTTAACATTTGATAAAAGGTGCATTTCAACTGGAAGAGAAACAAGGTCATTCCAAAAAAAAAACAGTACTGGGATAGTTGACTAGGTAGCTCCTAAAAAATTAATGTAGCTCCCTAACTAAACTTCACACCAAAATAAATTCCAGATGCGGAAAATATTTCAACAGCAACCAAAAAATGAAACCATAGAATAACTAAAAGAGTGTGGAAATTTTTTATTTTATAATCTCAGACCATGGAAAGTCTTTGTAGAAATAACACAAAACTGAGTTTTTAAGTTTTTTTTTAAAAAAAAGACTGTTTCTAAGGAAGGAACCATGCCCAAAGCCACTGCGATGATCCATGCTGGAGGCTGCACCACCACACAGCCAAGCATTCCGGTTCCTGATCTCCAGAGTCCTTCCCCACAGCAAGCTTATCTCTGAACTGCGGCATAAGTTAAAAAGTGTTCTTTTAAAACACATGCAAAATTTATAAATTCAGAACATGAATTCAGTTCAAGTCACATAAAATTCAGGTTTATAAAATTTGTCAGAAGTCCTATCACCAAGAAACTCTTTCTGGAATTCAGGCTAAAAAGGGACGCTACTGAACACATCTCTTCCTAATACTGCTGTGGTTCACACAAAGTGCAGGTGGTAGCAGATGAGACAATAGTAACGAAAGGAACAGCTTTTGCTTTAAAAAAAAAAAAAAAAAAAACTTTAAAAAAATATCAGGAATATATACCTTAAATAACCAAGGTTCAGTTTATGGCATGGATGCAGTTCAATTTAGTTGTTCAGTCATGAGCACCATATTGTGAAGGGCTTCCATGGCATGGATGCAACAGCATGAAATTTAAATGTGGTGTATTTACACATGTTTATGTGACACTGGAAAACCTCTACTGAACACACTATAAGAAGGCATCAATTTTAGAATGCTTACTAGGACTTTAATAGCAGTGGAAAGAGAAGAGAGAGAGCTAACCAGCTCCCTGATTATCCTGGAATCCAAAATGAAGTATATATTTCAGTTCAGTTTAGTCACCCAGTCGCATCCGACTCCTTGCAACCCCATGGACTGCAGCACGCCAGTCTCCCCTATCCATCATCAACTCCCGGAGCTTGCTCAAACTCATGTCCATCGAGTTGGTGATGCCATCCAACCATCTCAACCTCTGTCGTCCCCTTCTTCTCCCACCTTTAATCTTTCCCAGCACCAGAGTCTTTTCCAAGAAGTCAGTTATTCCCATCAGGTGGCCAAAGTATTAGGGTTTCAGCTTCAGCATCAGTCCTTCCAATGAACACCCAGGACTGATCTCCTTTAGGATGGACTGGTTGGATCTCCTTGCAGTCCAAGTGACTATCAAGAGTCTTCTCCAACACCACAGTTCAAAAGCATCAATTCTTCAGTGCTCAGCTTTCTTATGGTCCAACTCTTACATCCTTACATGACTACTGGAAAAATCATAGCTTTGACTAGATGGACCATTGTTGGCAAAGTAATGTCTCTGCTTTTCGATACGTTGTCTTTTCTTCCAAGGAGCAAGCACCTTTTAATTTCATGGCTGCGACACCATCTGCAGTGATTTTGGAGCCCAAGAAAATAAAATCTGACACTGTTTCCACTGTTTCCCCATCTACTTGCCATGAAGTGATGGGACCGGATATGCCATGATCTTCATTTTTGACCTTTGAGTTTTAAGCCAGCTTTTTCACTCTTCTCTTTCACTTTCATCAAGAGACTCTTTAGTTCTTCTTAACTTTCTGCCATAATGGTGGTGTCATCTGTGTATCTGAGGTTATTGATATTTCTCCCAGCAATCTTGTTTCCAGCTTCTGCTTCATCCTGCCTGTCATGTCACTGATGTACTCTATGTATAAGTTAAATAAGCGGTTGACAACATACAGCCTTCACGTACTCCTTTCCCAACTGGGAACCAGTCCATTGTTCCATATCTGGTTCTAACTGTTGCTTCTTTACCTACATACAGGTTTCTCAGGGGGCAGGTACGGTGGTCTGGTATTTCCATCTCTCGAAGAGTTTTCCAGTTTGTTATGATCCACACAGTCAAAGACTTTGGCGTAGTCAATAAAGCAGAAGTAGATGTTTTTCTGGAACTCTCTTGTTTTTAAGATGATCCAACGGATGTTGGCAATTTGATGTCTGGTTCCTCTGTTTTTTCTAAATCCAGTTTGAACATCTGGAAGTTCTCGGTTCACGCACTGCTAAAGCCTCACTTGGAGAATTTTGAGTATTACTTTGCTAGCATGCAAAATGAGTGCAGTTGTCCAGTAATTTGAACACTTTTTGGCACTGCCTTTCTTTGGGATTGGAATGAAAACCGACCTGTTCCAGTCCTGTGGCCACTGCTGCATTTTCCAAATTTGCTGACATATTAAGTGCAGCACTTTAACAGCATCATCTTTTAGGATTTGAATGGGCCTTAAGGCAGAAAGCGAAGAGGAACTAAAGAGCCTCTTGAGGAGGGTGAAGGAGAAGAGTGGAAAATCTGGCTTAAAACTCAAAATTACACCATGGAATATTACTCAGCCATTAAAAAGAATTCATTTGAATCAGTTCTAATGAGATGGATGAAACTGGAGCCCATTATACAGAGTGAAGTAAGCCAGAAAGATAAAGAACATTACAGTATACTAACACATATATATGGAATTTAGAAAGATGGTAATGATAACCCTATATGCAAAACAGAAAAAGAGACACAGATGTACAGAACAGACTTTTGGACTCTGTGGGAGAAGGCGAGGGTGGGATGTTTCGAGAGAACAGCATGAACATTATCTATAGTGAAACAGATCACCAGCCCAGGTGGGATGCATGAGACAAGTGCCCACACCTGGTGCACTGGGAAGACCCAGAGGAATCAGGTGGAGAGGGAGGTGGGAGGGGGGATCGGAAAGGGGAATACATGTAACTCCATGGCTGATTCACGTCAATGTATGACAAAACCCACTGCAATGTTGTGAAATGGTTGGCCTCCAACTAATAAAAATAAATGGGGAAAAAAAAAAGATTAAAAAAAAAAAAACCTCAAAATTCAAAAAACTAAGATCATGATATCCAGTCCCATCACTTCATGAAACAGATGGGGAAACAATGAAAACAGTGACAGACTGTATTTTCTTGGGCTCCAAAATCACTGCAGATGGTGACTGCAGCAAGGACTTCCCAGGTGGCTCAAGTGGTAAAGAACCCACTTGACAATGCAGGAGACATAAAAGATGCGGGTTCAATCCCTGGATTTGCAAGATCACCTGGAGCAGGGCATGGCAACTCACTCCAGTTTTCTTGCCTGGAGAATCCCTTGGACAGAGGAGCCTGGTGGGTTATGGCCCATGGCGTCACAAAGAGTCGGACATAACTGAAGCAACTTAGCATGCACGCACACTCCTTGGAAGAAAAGCTATGACAAACCTAGACAGCATATTGAAAAGCATAGACATTGCTTTGCCAACAAAGGTCCCATCTAGTCAAAGCTATGGTTTTTCCAGTAGTCATGTAAGGATGTGAGGGTTGGACCATAAAGAAAGCTAAACACTGAAGAACTGATGCTTTTAAACTGTGTTGTCAGAGAAGACTCTAGAGAGTCCCTCGGACAACAAAGAGATCAAACCAGTCAATCCTAGAGGAAATCAGTCCTGAATATTCATTGGAAGGACTGATGCTGAAGCTGAAACTCCAATACTTTGGCCACCTGATGTGAAGAACTGACTCAATGGAAAAGATCCTGATGCTGGGAAAGATTGAAGGCGGGAGGAGAAGGGGATGATAGAGGATGAGATGGTTGAATGGCATCAATGACTCAATGGACATGGAGTTTGAACAAGCTCTAGGAGTTAGTGATAGGGAGGCCTGGCATGCTCCAGACCATGGGGTCACAAAGAGTTGGACACAACTGAGGTACTGAACTGAACTTAATGGGCCAATAAAATAACTTGTGAGAAAATTATAGCCATAGCTTTCCTCAAACACTGAAAGGTAATTTTTAGAAATGATAATCCATAAAAGGAATTACTCCATCTAAGATGTCAGGTTTTAAGTATTTAACTTTCTATCACTGACAATAAGCAGATTGATAAAAATCTAGAAACACTTTCTTTATCATTAAAGCCTTTTACTATGTCTGATTAATCTTCGTTTCCTTAATACAGCCCTAATATAGCCAATGCTCAATCATTATTAAATTTCATGTGCTGACATAGAAAAGTTTCATAATTCAAATGGCAATACAGATAATCCAGTCTTCATGTCCATCTATCCTTTGTAGTTTGTAAACATTAACATCAACTTGGATTATTTCTTAAGAGTTCCTAATATTCACTGCATAGAAAAGTTCCCAAACTTCCACAAAAATGTGTAAGCTCTCAGCTGAAAGTCAACTTCTGAGTTCAACTCCTCTTGAAATAGATCAATTCCTATTACCTAAATCTTCTGATATAAAAACTTAAAGATGTGCAGGCTTCAAGAAATAGAGGGTAAGACACTGATATGAGGTCAGAAAGTTACCTGCAGAACATGGTCTAACACTGGTGACTGCTGCACAAGCATCAGTCAACACACTTGAAAGAGCCGAGTCCAGTGTCAAGGCGGGGAATTCTTTTTTGTTTGTTTGTTTGGGAGGGAAACTCTTGCAACCCTAGTACATTTGGTTCTAAAACTGACTGCATGGCATTAGATTCCCAGAGCTGCCATTTCATCCTTAAAAATAGGTAATGCATTAATTAATATTTTATAAACTACTTTTAAATGATAAAAGCGACTTTAACTACTTTCAGTAGTAACCATCCTTTTATTTTAAAAATGTTAAGTTTATTACCTGCTGAATTCCCACTGCATAAGTTTTCAAAAAGAATTCAGAAAATTCAAAGTATTCTTTTGTGACATTTCCTGGGCTTCCGTATCTTAAAACACAAAGAGAAAATGTTTAAATATTGAGAATTTTGTAAACAAAACATGCCCATTAGTTTAAATACTTTTCAATAGATACATTCTACTGGGGCAGAAAACTAACACTTTCCCTTTTATTCACAAGCACCGAAGTAAAATTATGACAAGCAACACTTCGATTCCAGGCCATACTTAAAATTTCAGACAGAAATATCATATCTCCATCCTTTTTGACAGAGACGAGAAAGACCCAGAGAAGACCATTCACCTCATTATGATATCAAAGCCAATGATCACAGTGAAGCCTGCTTTAAAACAAGCGCAGGATAACTTTTTGCCCTCTAAAGAAAAATAATCAAATACCATACAGCATTCAAGGGGACCTATTCAATTTTATTATATCCAATACTGAGATACTAACCACAGATGGTAAATCTAATAACCAGAATTACCGTTCAAAGAGACGAGCTACAATGTGTAGTGCCCACTTCTTACATTTCCACCAGACTAGTTCTGGTCTATCATCCTCATCAATCTGCAGAGTCTCCTAGGAGGACAAAATACCCAGATAAAATTCCTACAATGAAAGGGTTTGTGTGACTAACAAAGGCAGAATAAATGTTGATATAAATTAAGCAATATTAAATGTGAATTCAGATTACCATACAAATACAAGTTCTTACTTTACAGATTGCTAGGTAGGAATTAAGCAAGTAAAACTTCAACTAGTGTTATTGTTCACATTTATCTATCTTTAAAAGGCCAAAAAAAGTAGAAAACAAAATACAAAACGTCACATCCCTCAAGGAAACTCTCTAGGATACCAGAAAAGTTCTATATCTTGATCTGGGAGACAGTAACACAAGTGTCAGTCTGTCAAAATTCACTGAACTGTTCATTAATTTCTGTGCATTAATGTGTATAAACTAAATCTCAACATAATTTGTCCCAAGATATAGACAAAGGAAGGAATATTGAGACATCTGGAGACAACATCTGGAGACAAGCTCAAATTTTTAAATATTTTATAATTTTTATAATTTTATATTTTTAAAATATTTTATATTTTAATATGTTTAATATATATTTAATATAATTTTATATATAATTTTTAAATGTTAATATATTTTAATTTAGTTAATCTGATTATTTGTGTTAATTTGATATATGAAATATAGTATCACATTTATTGCAGATAAAAATGAGACACCATCTTTCACCTATCAAATTGGCAAACTCACAATTTAACAAAACAGTATCAGTCACTGCTTATTAAAGTATAAGCCAATACACTCTTTCTGGAAAGCTGTTTTCAATATCTGTCAAAGTAGAAAATTAAGCCATTACTTTCTACTAACTTTTAACAGAATATAATCTATAAAAATACTGAATCACTATGCCAAACACCTGAAACTAATATAACACTGTGCATCAACTCTACTTCAATTAATTAATTCACTAATTAGCTAAAGATCTGTCAAAGCCTTAACACAGCAAGGAGGTTATCCAAACAAAATAATCATGTATGTGCATAGAAATCTAACTATATCCTTATAGTTAAACCTATAACAAGCTAAATATCTAGCAAATGAAGCATTAAGCAACAACGTACCATACAAAAAAATTCAAAATCATACAAAATATTTCTATGAAATTTTAAGTGAAAATTAATACCAAAACAGTACCCACTCCAGTATTCTTGCCTGGGAAATCCCATGGACAGAGAAGCCTGGTGGGCTACAGTCCATGGGGTCGCAAGAGTCAGACAGAACTGAGCACACATGCATGCACACAACTATCTATATATACCATTTTTACAAATAAAATATAATTGTTCCTCCTGACAGATCCCATTAATGCTTCTTTTCCTGTATACCTTTTTTAATCACTTTTTAATAAGATTTTGTAGGTATACCCTTTTTAATCACTTCTTCCTATAAAGTATTTTCTGTAGGAAAAAATATGTTGTATATGAATGCAGAGAAAAAAAGAGGAATGATTATCAAGTTTTAAAAATGGCTATCTATTTTTAATAGGATTAAACAGTTATTTTATTAATTTTGTTTATCTGAATTTTCTATAGCTGAGTATGTATCATAAATTATTTTTGTTACAGTAATTTTTTTTTCCAAATAGCAGACGGATAATAATCAGTCTACCACAAACAACCCAAATCCAACTTTTCCCAATTCTTCTTAGAAACAGAAGCCCTTTCTTACAGGAGGAACAGTCCTGTCAATAATAGTTCGGAAGATCTCCATCCACGCTGTCATGGTTTGGTTATTCACCAGTTGAAGAGGCAATGCATACTGAAAACAAAGGACAACAATATCAGACAATAATTCCTCCCCTCTAAAAAATCAGCAACTTATCTACATAGAAAGGTTGAAATACATGGAACAGCTAACATGTGACCATGAAAACAGTAATTTCAGATGACTGAACCTAAAATTTAACTTAAAACAGCCCTACGTGTGTAAGTTAAATTTTTAAAAATCTAGAAAATATACATGCCATAAATTATTTCTCTGAGCTCCTCCTTTTTTTCAGCCATGCTGTGCATCATCCAGGATTTTAGTTCCCCAACTACGGATCAAACCCATGCCTCCTGCATTGGGAGCATGGAGTGTTAACCACTGGACCTCCAACGAAGTCCCTGGTATATTTTTAAGTAAAAAATAATAAAAATAATACAGAAAGAGGTCATTTATTCAGCATGAGGCTCTAGATAAGTGATTTTTTAACATTTACCACTTTGGGTGTCAAATTTCATCTTTCCAGCTTTATTGAAATAGAATCGATATATAATGCTATGCAAGTTTAAGGTACACAACATGATTATTTGATACACATATATATTGTTAAATTACTTTTATAACAATGTTAGTCAATACTTCCATTACCTCATATAATTATCTTTTTATTTTTGAAATGTAGTTCATTTAAAATATTATATTATTTTCAGGTATACAAGTAACTTCACTATTTTTATAGACTATATTCCATTTAAAGTTATTACAAAATAATGGCTATATTTCCATGTGCTGTACATCCTTGTTACTCATTTATTTTATACATAGTAAATATCTCTTAATCCCATATGCATCTTGACCCTCCCCACTTCCCTCTCCTGTTAATCACTAGTTTATTCTCTGTATCTATGTATCTGTTTGTTTTGTTACATACACTTGTTTATTTTTTAGATTCCACACATAAGTGATAACAGTATTTGTCTTTCTTTGCCTGACATTTCGCTAAGTGTAAAACACTCTAGGTCCATCCACATTGTTGCAAATGGCAGAATTTCAATCTTTTTATGCCTGAGTAATATTCCACTGTATGTATATGCATGTGCATAAACATACAACATCTTCATTCATTCATCTATTGATGGACACTTAAGCTGCTTCAGTATTCTTGCCTTGAGAACCCCATGAACACTATGAAAAGGCAAAATGATAGGATACCGAAAGAGGAACTCTCCAGGTCGGTAGGTGCCCAATATGCTACTGGAGATCAGTGGAGAAAAACTCCAGAAAGAATGAAGGGATGGAGCCAAAGCAAAAACAATACCCAGTTGTAGATGTGACTGGTGATAGAAGCAAGGTCCAATGCTGTAAAGAGCAATATTGCATAGCAACCTGGAATGTTAGGTCCCTGAATCAAGGCAAATTGGAAGTGGTCACACAGGAGATGGCAAGAGTGAACATTGACATTCTAGGAATCAGCGAACTAAAATGGACTGGAATGGGTGAATTTAACTCACATGACCATTGTATCTACTACTGTGGGCAGGAATCCCTTAGAAGAAATGGAGTAGCCATCATGGTTAACAAAAGAGTCCAAAATGCAGTACTTGGATGCAATCTCAAAAACGACAGAATGATCTCTGTTCGTTTCCAAGGCAAACCATTCAGTATCAAAGTAATCCAAGCCTATGCCCCAACCAGTAATGCTGAAGAAACTGAAGTTGAATGGTTCTATGAAGACCTACAAGACCTTTTAGAACTAACACCCAAAAAGGATGTCCTTTTCATTATAGAGGACTGGAATGCAAAAGTAGGAAGTCAAGAGATACCTGGAGTAAAAGGCAAATTTGGCCTTGGAGTACAGAATGAAGCAGGGCAAAGGCTAATAGAGTTTTGCCAAGAGAATGCACTGGTGATAGCAAACACCCTCTTCCAACAACACAAGAGAAGACTCTACACATGGACATCACCAGATGGTCAACACCGAAATCAGATGGATTATATTCTCTGCAGCCAAAGATGGAGAAGCTCTATACAGTCAGCAAAAACAAGACCTGGAGCTGACTGTGGCTCAGATCATGAACTCCTTATTGCCAAATTCAGACTTAAATTGAAGAAAGTAGGGAAAACCACTAGGCCATTCAGGTATGAACTAAATCAAATCCCTTATGACTATACAGTGGAAGTGAGAAATAGATTTAAGGGGCTAGAACTGATAGACAGAGTGCCTGATGGACAGAGGTTTGTGACACTGTACAAGAGACAGGGATCAAGGCCATCCCCATGGAAAAGAAATGCAAAAAAGCAAAATGGCTGTCTGAAGACGCCTTACAAATAGCTGTGAAAAGAAGAGAAGTGAAAAGCAAAGGAGAAAAGGAAAGATATACCCATTTGAATGCAGAGTTCCAAAGAATAGCAAGCAGAGATAAAAAAGCCTTCCTCAGCGATCAGTGTGAAGAAATGGAGGAAAACAACAGAATGGGAAAGATTAGAGATCTCTTCAAGAAAATTAGAGATATCAAGGGAACATTTCATGCAAAGATGGGCTCGATAAAGGACAGAACTGGATTGGACCTAACAGAAGCAGAAGATATTAAGAAGAGGTGGCAAGAATACACAGAAGAACTGTACAAAAAAGATCTTCATGACCCAGATAATCACAATGGTGTGATCACTCACCTAGAGCCAGACATCCTGGAATGTGAAGTCAAGTGGGCCTTAGAAAGCATCACTATGAACAAAGCTAATGGAGGTGATGGGATTCCAGTTCAGCTATTTCAAATCCTGAAAGATGCTGCTATGAAAGTGCTGTACTCAATGTCCCAGCAAATTTGGAAAACTCAGCAGTGATCACAGGACTGGAAAAGGTCAGTTTTCATTCCAATCCCAAAGAAAGGCAATCCTAAAGAATGCTCAGACTACCTCACAATTAAGCTTATCTCACATGCTAGTAAAGTAATGCTCAAAATTCTCCAAGCCAGGCTTCAGCAATACATGAACTGTGAGCTTCCAGATGTTCAAGCTGGTTTTAGAAAAGGCAGAGGAACCAGGATCAAATTGCCAACATCTGCTGGATCATCAAAAAAGCAAGAGAGTTCCAGAAAAACATCTAGTTCTGCTTTATTGACTACGCCAAAGCCTTTGACTGTTCAGATCACAATAAACTGTGGAAAATTCTGAAGGAGATGGGAATACCAGACCACCTGACCTGCCTCTTGAGAAATCTTTATGCAGGTCAGGAAGCAAGTTAGAACTGGACATGGAACAACAGACTAGCTCCAAAGAGGAAAAGGAGTATGTCAAGGCTGTATATTGTCGCCCTACTTATTTAACTTATATGCAGAGTACATCATGAGCTGGGCTGGAAGAAGCACAAACTGGAATCAAGATTGCCAGGAGAAATATCAATAACCTCAGATATGCAGATGACATCACCCTTATAGCAGAAAGGGAAGAGGAACTAAAAAGCCTCTTGATGCAAGTGAAGGAGGAGAGTGAAAAGTTGGCTTAAAGCTCAACATTCAGAAAACTAAGATCATGGCATCTGGTCCCATCACCTCATGGCAAGTAGATGGGGAAACAGTGGAAACAGTGTCAGATTTTATTTTGGGGGGCTCCAAAATCACTGCAGATGGTGATTGCAGCCATGAAACTAAAAGACGCTTACTCCTTGGAAAGAAAATTATGACCAACCTAGATAGCATATTAAAAAGCAGAGACATTACTTTGCCAACAAAGGTCCATCTAGTCAAGGCTATGGTTTTTCCAGTGGTCATGTATGGATGTGAGAGTTGGACTGTGAAGAAAGCTGAGTGCCAAAGAATTGATGCTGGTGAACTCTGGTGTTGGAGAAGGCTGTTGAGAGTTCCTTGGACTGCAAGGAGATCCAACCAGTCCATCCTAAAGGAGATCAGTCCTGGGTATTCATTGGAAGGACTGATGCTGAAGCTGAAACTCCAATACTTTGGCCACCTTATGCGAAGAGTTGACTCGTTGGAAAAGACCCTGATGCTGGGAAAGATTGAGGGCAGGAGGAGAACGGGATGACAGAGGGTGAGATGGCTGGATGGCTTCACCGACTCCATGGGCATGAGTTTGAGTAAACTCCAGGAGTTGGTGATGGACAGGGAGGCCTGGCGTGCTGCGATTCATGGGGTCGCAAAGTGTTGGACACGACTGAGCAACTGAACTGAACTGAACTGAACTGAACTAAGTTGCTTCCATAATATGGCTATTGTGAAAAATACTGTTACAAACACTGGGGTGTATATATCTTTTGAATCAGCATTTTCACTTTTTCCAGATATATACCTTAGCAGTAGAACTGCTGACCATATGGTAGTCCTATTTTTAGTTTTTTGAGGAAATGCCATATAGTTTTTCATAATGGCTGTACCAATGTACATTCCCACTAACAGTGTATGAAGATTCCCCTTTCTCCACATCCTTGTCAACATTTGTTATTTGATGATTTTTTCACGATAGGTATTCTGACCGGGTATGAGGTGGTAGCTCATTATGGCTTTGATTTACATTTCTCTGGTGATAAGCAACGTTGAGCATCTTTTCAAGTGCTTGTTGGCTATCTATATGTCTTCTTTGGATAAATGTCTATTCAAGTCTTCTGCCCATTTTTTAATTGGGTTTTTTTGTTGTTGTTGTTATTGAGCTATACGAGCTGTTTATATATTTTGGATATTAACCCCTTATTGCTAACATCATTTGCAAATATCTTCTCCCATTTAGTAGGCTGTCTTTTTGTTTTGTCAATGGTATCCTCTGCTGTGGGAAAGCTTTTAAGCTTAATTAGGTCCCATTTGTTTTTGTTTTTATTTCCTTGTCTTAGGAAATAAATCCAAAAAAGAATACTGCTATGATTTATGTCAAAACATGCTACACGTTTTCTCCTACGGTTTCCAGGTCTTACATTGAGGTCTTTAATCCGTTTTGACTTTATTTTTGTATATGATATGAGGAAATGTCCTCATTCATTTACATATGACTATCCAGTTTTCCCAGCACCACTTACTGAAGGGACTGTCTTTTCTTCACCACATATTCTTGCTTCCTTTGTCGTGGATTAATTGACTATATGTGCATGGGTTTACTTCTGAGTTCTCTGTTCTGTCCCATTGATCTATAAGCTTATTTTTGTGCCAGTATGATACTGTTTTGGTTATTGTATATTTGTAGTACAGTCTGAGCAGAAGGCAATGGCAACCCACTCCAGTACTCTTGCCTGGAAAATCCCATGGATGGAGGAGCCTGGTAGGCTGCAGTCCATGGGGTCACTAAGAGTCGGACACGACTGAGCTAATTCACTTTCACTTTTCACTTTCATGCATTGGAGAAGGAAATGGCAACCCACTCCAGTGTTCTTGCCTGGAGAATCCCAGGGATGGGGGAGCCTGGTGGGCTGCCGTCTATGGGGTTGCACAGAGTCGGACACGACTGAAGCAACGCAGCAGCAGCAGCAGCAGCAGCAGCAGTGTAGTCTGAAGTCAGGGAGCGTGATATCTCCAAGTTTGTTCTTTTTTCTCAAGGTTGCTTTAGCAATTCAGGGTCTTTGGTAAATTATCTGTTCTACTTCTGTGAAAAATGTCATCAATATTTTGATAGAGATTTCAGTAAATCTACAGATTGCTTTGGATAGTATGGACATTTTAACAATATTAATTATTCCAATCCAAGAACACAAAATATCTTTCCATTTCTTTGTACTGTTTTCAAATTCCTTCATCAATGTTTATAGCTTTCAGAATATAGGTATTTTACATCCTTGGCTAAGCTTATTCCAAGGCATTTTATTATTTCTGATGCAGTTGTAAATAGGGGTGTTTCCTTAACTCCTCCTCCCATAATTATCTTTTTGTGATGCAAACTCATTGTAATGACGTTAATGAAAATCTTTCCTTCAAGAAACACTTTTTTCAATTAATTTTGTCTACACTGTGGCATGACATCACAGTCCACTACAGTATATTACAGTGTACAACGCCCCTCCCTACTACACCTTGAGCTACAGGAGATGAGGCTTAGCATCTCTGCATCCACGCATTCCAAAACCTGCTACATGCTAAGGATATAATAGTAAGTAAAGCTTACATTCTAATTGAGGGGGGGAAACATTTAAACAAGAAATTACAATATGATGTGATAAACAAGCATTATAGTGTTGATAAGAGCACCCATGAGGACCATGTAATGCAGCCTACTAACAGAAGAGACAGCTTCTGTGGAAGAAGTGATACGCAAGCTGAGACATGGAGAAGGAGTGCAAATGAACCAGGGCAGAAAGGGGAAGGAGGGTGCTCCAGATTACACGGTGCCTTAAAGGCTCAGCAGTGACAAGCAGACATGACCTGCTCATGAAGCTAAAAGAATTTCCATATAGCTGGAGTGTAAAGAACAAAGCTAAAGCTAAATATAGTATAAGATAGTATAAGATGAGGTGAGATAGTATAAGATAGTATAGCATAAGATGAGGTGAGAGATGAAAGGTTTTATAGGCCATGTGACGAAATTAACACTTTATTCTAAATGCAGTGGGCAGTCAATTGGTTTTAAGATGGAGCGAAGAGGAGGAGCAGGCTCAGGGTTGGGGGAACGATAGTAATGAGTTCACTTCTGGACAAATGAGTTCTGAAATATGTATGAAATATTCAAGAGCCCTGTACACAATAAATATTTAATAAATGCTTAGACAAAATCAATTTCATTATATCATACTTTTTATAACATAAATTTTTTCTGCCTTTTCCCTTATAGACAATCACTCTTTACTTACATAAACACTGGAACTATGCCACTTAAAGCCTTCTAAATTTTTGCTTCCAGGATTCCGCACTGAAGAATATTACTATATCAGCACATAATAAATTACTGAAATGGTTTAAAATGATGAGGGGTTTTTTTCCCCAGATTTTTTAGTTCTTTAGCACATACATGTAAGAAAAAAAAATTAGATTTTTGCTCTCTTAGCAAACTAAGTAGAAGTAGAGACTTTAAGAAAACGATTTCATCATCCTGTGTCTTACTTACAGTTCCTGGCTATGCTTCTCCCAATGGGAAAGGGAAGTCTGGCTCTTAATAAATGGGATATTACTATGTCTAATGGCAAGACATCTCACTGAATAAAAAATGTTTGCCCCAAAGTGATTCTCCTGAGAAAGATTTCTGAACAGAAAAACAAAAACAAAAGCATCATACATCTTCCTACTTTATTACTTTTTAAAAAAGGAAAAAAAGGTGAAGGAATATGTTTTCTTAGTATTCTAGTTTCTTCTCTTTTCTCAGAGGTGCATCCTTTCCCCTTCCTACTGCCCCAAAAAAGGCAAAGCTGAAAAAAACACAAAAATCCTCCCTGGACTGTCTCTATTAAAAGTTTAAAAGGTGAGGCTAAAAATATAAATCTTATTAAAGTGAAATATTCTAGAACAATATAAAAGTACTTCAGTCAGATAGAAGCCAAGAACAAAACCAAACTATCCTGACTCTCTAGCTTGATGAAACTACCCTCTTGCCATGACTAAGTTAACAAGAAAGCATGAAATAAATAATTATTCTTTCTCCACCCAGATCTAAATATCTTACCCAAGCCTTCCGAGAATTAAATTTTAAATATTTTTATATTTAAAACATTCTATATTAATGTTCATTATAGCTTCCAAATAAGAAAATGGAAATTTTTAAATGAAGGTAAATGAGTCACTCAATCTCATTTGTTAGCTTTAAGTTGGGTCAAATGCAAACAAACTACCATCAATATGATTTCTCAATAAAAAAAGAACTCTCTTCTTTTCCTTTCTCTTCTCCTATAATCATAACCAATCTACAGGCAGAATGCTATGGACAGGTTAGTCAAATCATCAGGTTTTAGGACAGTTAACTACCTTGTTTCTTCCATACTCAGACTTCAGACACTGGGGTGAAAGACATATGGCCACTGAATCTCAGCTCTGCCACTCAAATAACCTTGGACAATTAAGTTGACCTAAGTCTGTTCTCTCCTAAGGTTTTTTTTTTTTTAAAGAAATACATGTGAGAATATATAATATGTAATTTTTAACAATAAACAATAACTGACACTTACTGAGCATTTTCAATGTGCCAAGCAGAAATACATGGCATCAACTTTGTCTTCTGCTATAGAAACTTACCTGCACAAGTGCATAAAAGATTTTCAGAATCTGTTTCTGTATTAATACAGAATAATGTGAGGAATCAGGAAGGAGCTGCATGATTTGTTGCTGAATACGAGGCAGAAATATTTGCATTGCTGCTATAAGAGGTTCTCTTTCCTCTGCTTTCTTATATCTACATGAGCAAAGACAAAACAAGAAAACAATAATTTCTCCCCCCACAAAAGAGCTATAAACAATGAATGAAAAACAGTATTTCTAAACTATATAAAACTAAAACAATAACTTTCTAAACACTGTATTACATTTCACTTTGGATTGTTAGAATAAACCTGAGAGAAACTCTGAAAGAGCACATCCCTGTTTCAGGCAGAATACCTAAAATCTTTTTAGGAAGAGTTGGACTAATTCAAAATAATTAAAAACAGCTTTGCAACTTTCCTAAATCAATTTTTCTAGTACTTAGATTAATTTTCATCATACCACAATTCTTGCTACAAAATACAGGCTGATATACCAGCTTAAATAGATATTCCTATTATATAACAAATAATGTGGTGGAAAAAACAGTTGTCTATACCCTATATTGAGAAGTTAAAATAGTTTACAAATTTATGTGCTCTTAGATCACTAAAATATCCTCTAAAAATCATTTTAAAAGGAAGAATACAGAACTTTGTATGCAGGAGCAGCAATTCGAAACTAGAAAGCAATGCTATTAAACGTGACACTAGTCCCACACCTTCCAAGCAATTCTTATAGAAACAAAACTCACTAGCAAAGAAACTGGCATTTTCTACCTTGTACCCAAAAAGGTAAATGTTTGGTTTACTTAATAATGTGCTCACTTGAAGACAAATGTTAAGGTACCTCTCCATCAGAATTTCCAAGGAAAGCTGTTAAATAAATGGTCCTCTGAAACTAACAAATAAGTTTGAGAAGCACTGCCTGAAAGATTAACACATTAGCAGATTAAAGATTCTTTGAAAAACTAGTAAATTACCACATTTGTGTTGAATCCAACATTTCCCAAACTAACCTGATTCTGCACAACACCCACAGCAGACCCCTCTATGCAATGTAATTCTTTCTAAGTAACACAAGGCTGGTATCTTCAGCCAATAGAAATCAACTTACTCATATGTCTTCACCAGTTGATACAGACATAACAAACTGCCAAGCCAGCTTCCACTGCTCTGTGATTGCAAGTAATAGTCTATCTTGTCGACTACTGCTGGCCAGTGACCAGGGAAATCGTATTTAATGATGGCACGGAGACACATTGTTAACTGGACTCTATAAGGTGGGGGAAAAAAGTCCACAATCTAAGTAGTTATAAATATCAGGCTTCAAAGATCTCTAGTACTGTACACAAAAGCACTTTGATTCCTATTTATCTACATTATATAGTTATTTATCTAGGAAGATAAGAAAAAGAGTGGTCCTATTAAAAAAAACACCTCATCAGTAACTCAAACTTACTGAAAATAAATAGAATGAGTGATTGCCTAAAATGTATCATATCTTTCAAATGGTCTTATCCTAAAGATAAGCTTTGTAAAAAAAAAAAAAATTAGTAAATTCATTAAAAATTCTCCAAAAAAAAGACAATGACTCAACCCCAGCTCTTTATAAAATTTCCCACCTTGCCATATTTTATATTTTGGTTATCATATCCTACAGGGAAACAAAACAAAAAAGTATTTTATTATTTCAACTGGACAAACTTAACCTAAATATGGTCACAGTAAGTAAAATGGAAGCCTACGAAACAGTGGGAAGCATCTCCATGAGCCAAAGTCTGGAATCAGTCATCAGCAGTTCCAGCCATGCAGTATTTTGCACCTATCAAAGCTTCCTTAGATCCTAAATTTTATACAAAGTACCAAGTACTAGCTGGAAATTCTTGAAGGGGAATGTTAAGAGCTATTTCCAAAGAAACATAGAAAAAAAAGCAACAGGCAAGACATAAAACAGAAAAAAAAAAAAAAAAGGACATATCTTCAATAAAACCACGAAGTTAAGTGATAAAAGATGTGATCTCGTAACGCTTAGGTCAGTAATCATTTCCTCGACTGGATCCCAGTCACAACTGAACAGAAAGTGAGGAAAAAACTTCTACAAACTCTCAGTGTGCCCTTACATGGTCACTTGCGAATGGTCAGAAAGTGAATCAAGCTAAATTAGGACTCCACCATGCCAAGAAAAAGATATGTATTCAGTTCAACAGCCAATAACTTGAATTCACTGAAATGAAACAAACAAAATAATGCCTTTTCCTTGTGTCTCCAAATCTATCTGCAAAAGATCCTTTGCAGTACTTTAAATAAACTTTGAGAATATTTATGTAAGAGTGGTTACAGTTAAGCCTTCAGGACATAAAAGAAGCAAAGCCACAAAGAACTGTCTCATAATAAAGATAAAGATAACATCCTATGCCACCAGCAGCTGCTCCTAAACAACCAATAGATCATATCTGTATTCAATAAAACTGAAACTTTTCATTTTTTTAAATTTCATCTTCAGGTTGACCCTCTTAATCCTTTCTCATTCCAAGCCAAGCAAAGGATGGCTATGAACAGCCATCCTTTCATATATTACTGTGTAGAAGCATTGCTTGCAAGATTCAGAGAGATTTAAAAATGTAAAGATTTTGCCAAGAAATGGACACATGATGGTACCACAGGGAAGCCAGTGCCAGACAGGCATGTGGGCAACCAAAAAGAATAAAGACTATTTTCTTTTATCAGTACAACTCCTTTCTCCTCTTAATGAAACAACTGCACAAAGAGGAGTTCAAAGCTTGTCACACTCAGGGATAAAGTTATATCTAATCTCTTGAAGTTAGTTTCATTTCCCTACCTCAGATTCATCTATTTCCCTCCTGCCTTTTCTAAAGAAACCTAATCACTCTCTCATGTCAAAAAGAATTTGTTTTTCCTATTTTAAGACTGCATAATTTTTTTGACTCTATAGTTGTGCTAGCCAATAAGGGCAGCCACCAGTTATATAATTAAATTAAAAATTCAGTTCCTCAGTTACACTAGCCATATTTCAAGTACTCCACTGGCTTCTATGCCACATGACTAAGGATCAGACAGTAAGGATACAGACGATTTCCATTACCGCAGAAAATCTACTGGACTCTACACAGCTAACCTAAATTTTAAAAACCAGAGATACTTCCAGTTTATACTTTCTCCATCCTATCTTCTTCAAAGGAACAGATGCTCAGCTCACAAAAATGAATAAAAAGATAGGTACAGTATTACAAAAGTGCTAAGTTAAAACCCCCAGAAGTCAATTTCCCTGTATCAGGAAAAAGAAAAGCAAATAGTGAAAAGTCAAGTGCTCTAAATGAGAACATAGGTTATTTACATACAGGGATCTACACAACAATTTTAGTTACATGTTTGCCTTAACTTTTCTTACGGCTACTTATAGCAACTAAATCCTTTCCAAAATATTTTGAGGCAGGGACTTTCTAGTGGTTCAGTGGTTAAGATTCCTCCTTTCCCACTGCAGGGGACATGGGTTTGATCCCTGGTTGGGGAACTAAGATACCACATGCCACATGGTGCAGCCAAAAAAAACTATATATATATATAAGCAAAGAATTACAAATGCAAAAACAAATAATTAAAACTGTATTCTTTGAATGACCACCTTCATTACTTTGTATCTCTTTTAAAAAACAAACTTGAGGCTGATGATTAAATCTAAGCTCCCCCATCCACACAGTCTGTGCTTCCCACAAAGCACACAGATATAGTATAATGTACCTCACTAAATCTGGAGACCGAATTATTCCTTCCACAATATTATCACGTATTTGCTGGCGATCATTTTCATGAATGTTGAATGGAAATATTGCTTCTCCTGGTGGAGGTTCTCGGTCCGGCCAGTACTGTGTCACCATGTTCTTCAAGTAAATGGCAGCTAAGTTAGAGGGGAAAAAAAAAAAGCTAATGTAGCAGTATTGAAAAGATGGCTTTCATTTAGCCTTGCAGAGCATGAAAGGCTAAACCCTTCAATGCTAAATATGACACCCAGCAAAAATGGAAAATCTTATAAATAGCCAAGCGGAGAAGGGAAAATGAATAAGAATTTAAAGTTTCTCTTTAGCTAGTAAAGTAAATCTAAGCAGAAAACACCTCATTAAATAAAGCTCCAGAGTTTACATGACAGAAAAATGACCTAGGAACTCAAGTATGTACCTATATACTAAATAAATACAAAATGGTCTAAATGCAACTCTACCAAAAAATTTTCAGATCATGAGAGTCATACTGTTCATAATGCCCAATACTGAACTGACAACAGGTGAAACTCTACAGTCCTTCACATAGATTGCTTTTTCTGTCTTTCTTTCACTGGCTATTATCCCACACTACCATTTTGAAATTTGTATGCTTTTTATAAAGTATTGGTAATTATTATCTAACCCTTCGGAAATATTTGCCACTTTCAAATATAACAATAGAGAAAAGAACATTAGCTTTCAAATATTTTTGGAAAATCTCAGGAAATCTCTTATCTGCTTATTTCTATCAAAGTACAATCATCAATGATTTGGTTTCTATTTTTTTTAATCATCTTCAACATTTAACAAAAGACTTCTGAAGGAAGCTAATATACTGCTGCAGAGTTCTGACAAGGAATGCAAAGCTTTCTCACCAACCCAGCTGAGCACTGGGAATACATATATTTTTATGATGTCATATTCTTACCCATACATAAAATATAAAAATAAAGACAGATGACCTGCAAAGCATTATAACTGTCTTCCCTCAAGTTTCTCCTCTCCCTTCTTCCCCACTCCTCCCTTCATCTCAATTTTGACATAAGCTAAACTGGCTCATAGAAGCATTATACCACAGACTAAACCAAAACATGTTCTACATTGGCTGTAATACAACAGAAATCCAATGAAATTATGAACCTAATATCCTATAAGCTCCTCTTTCATTAGTTTTGATTCAACAAAGGTCTAAAAAAGACAATTTCACCTAAGACTTTCATTTTTTAGGATAAAAACAAAAATTATTTGAGACAGTGAAAGAGAGAGGGAAAGGGAGAAAGGGGGTGCGGGCGCGGGGAAGGGAGGGAAAAGGAAAGGGAGGGAGGCGGGAGACAGAGAAAGAGAAGTGTGTCTATGTGTGAGAGTTTGGGTTTTTGTCTCTTTTTAAGTCAGACCACACAGGCTCTGGACTAAGTACCATCGTTTACCCCAGTATACTTATTTTATTATGTAACCATCATTGGCAATAAAAATACACAAACTGTTGGAAAAAATGAATAAATGATCTAAGAATATGGTCCAACCTGTCAGCAGTTCAGACTGATTTCATGAGATTAATCTTTGCAAAAAGAAAAATCACAATGCCATTTTAATCCCTACAGAACTAGTCTTGAAAATAAAAAGCAACTTTCAGACAGCAAAGATACAGACATGGTAAAATCATGGACCTATTCATAATTTATTCATTAAATCCTATTAATTTTATAACTAAAAATATTTTTATTTTGGAACACCATAAGAGATGGCCTATATAAAAGACACTGACAAATTGTATAGGTTGCAAGAAACATGCAGTTAGTTAAAATAAAACTGAATTAATGTAATATTAATTATTATTAATATTAATGTAATATTACATTAATATTAATGTAATAATTTGAAAATAGAATATTAATTATGCTTATAATCACGGATTACTAAAGATAATGAAGGGAAAATACCAAAAATAACTGAAACTCTACCAATAATCTAAAAATATCCCCTTAATCATTTAATTCAAATGTCTATCTAACCATATGCCAGAGCTAAGTAAATACAAATATCTTAATTCATTCATAAAAAAATTAAGTACTAAAATTTGTTTTTCTGCAAAATCTACTTATAACTTAAAGCATCTTAAGTTTGAAATTAACTTTAAAATATACACGCATTTCTCCCCTTTTGAAACACAATGAATCATCACATACGCTCTATCTTCTGGACCCAGAGCCACCAGCACACAGATCAACTGGGTTCTATAACATCAAAGTGGAAAGGATGCAAGCAAACTTAGTGAAGCGGAATGCTATGCTTTTTGAGTTGATGTTTCTAAGTTATTCTATTTTTCATAGTAATGTGGTAGCCCTTCTCCTCTTCTCTCTTGTTATTACTTTAATCTGTTAAAAGCCAAGAAACAAGGTAATGAAGTGTGTAAATTATATCTAAAACAAGATTAAACAGATTCTGAGTAAGAGCCATAGAGTTTCCTACAAATAAGATACATCAATTTTAACAAAAGAGCATCTTGAGGTGCTTCTGGACTAATCGGAGGCAACTTCCTGTTAATTTCTAGGTTGTGTATTCTGAAACAATGAGGTCAACACCTTGATAATGCTACTAAGCCTACCAATCAAAAGGAAAACAGTGGAGCAAACATCCAAATTTATCTTGTTTAGCTTGCCAATATCAAAATATTACACTTATTTCCTATTCCTTACCAGTAAAGTAATAAAGGACATTCACTAACCAGCTTTCTTGATAATAGCAAGAATATTAATTACCCACAAGCAAAAAAAAATCAAGAACTGAATATTTCACAGAACCATGTCTTTCCACTTAATATTATAGCATAACTTTTACACTTTATATAAACAGGCTGATTTTTTAAAATCAAATATCACAACATTCTGTTTTAAAGGTCATGCTAAAATGATAAATTGTCCAAGGGTCACCATGATTCTTGGGGTATCTTTGTATTCTAATAAAAGGTTAAACAGAAAAGAAAATTTATAAATGGCACTTAAATTTAGGATAGTTATAATGTAGACGTCTACACAGTATATACACAGACTGTATAATAAAATGGATGCTGTAAAGTAAAAAGTTGTCCCTAATAAATTAGGACATGATCAACAACCAAGAGAAACACTGTCCTGTGGCTAACAGATTTAAAATCTACGTAAATTATAAATAAAAGTTAGCTTTTAAATGCTAATTACATTTTATATCAAAACTTAATTACCTAAGTTATCAAGATTCAAAGTTGTATAGAACTGGTGAGGATATGGAAAACCCTGCATTCTAATGCACCGTTGATAGAAAAAGTAAGCAAATGCAACTTGGTGATAAGATTCAAAATTGTAAATGTTAATATTGTTAACATCATTAACCTAGCATTTCCATTTGTTTCATACTATTAAAATATCCCCACTAGTAGCCAGAGATATGTGTTCAAGAATGTTCATTTTAATGTTACCTCTAACAAAAACAAGAAAAAGGGGCAATAAGGGACATGTCCACCAGTATCAGATTGCTTAAATACACTATGGTAGTTCTAATTCAAAGAAATACAGCAGGAGAGAATGGGACAAACTGAGGGAGTAGCACTGAAATATATACATTACCACGTATAAGGCAGAGAACTAGTGGGAGCCGCTGTGTCACACAGAAGCTCAGCCCAGTGCTCTATGACACTGTAGAGGGTGGAATGGGGAAGGGGTGGGAGGGAGGCTCAAGAGAATATATGTATACTTACAGTTGGCTCATGTTACAGCAGAAACCAACACAATATTGTAAAGCAATTATCCTCCAAACAAAAATAAATTTAAAAAAATATATATATATATATATAGAGGAATGGGAGTATGGAAATCTCAAAAATATACTTTCTCTTTAAAAAAAATAATACTAGGTAATTGTTACAAAGAATGAAGTATATGTATGTGCACTGACATGGAATGATCTCCCAAGGGTATATGGTTAAATGGAAAAAAAAGGAAATTACAAAATAGCATGTGTAGTACAAACAGATTTTTATTACTTTTTAAAATCAGCATATCTACAGAAAAAGAAAAAGAATTAGAGAACCAAGCACCAAAGTTGATAGTAGCTATCTCTCGGGGTAGATTCAAGAGCAATCTAATAATATAAATTCTGTTTATTTGTATGTTATATAAATAAGACTTATTAATTTAATAAACTGCTTTAAGATCCTTAAAAATACTATTTCCATAGAAAGCTTTATAGCAAATTCACAATGGCCCTATAAACAACTTAGGTTATGAAAGTAAGTTCCATTTAGCAAAATGTGGTTTCAAAACAGCCTTATTTTATAAAACAAACATTAAACTGAAAATTGTGATTTCAAAAAACTTACACTGAAGTCTCACAAACCTTATTAAAGTAAAAATAATTCCACCATGAATGTTTTTCCATAGTTTTTTCATAAGAAATTTATTTTTTCATAAGATAATTTAACCACAAAGGGATCGTTTAGGAAATCATACATATTTTTCCAAAATTTTATGATTCCCTACTTTATTCTGTTATGTTCAAGTAAAACTAAATGCTTTTATCAGCATGTAGAGTATAATTCCATTTCTATAAAACTGTTCAACTAGCCTCTTCTATCTGAACACATGCACAGAGTAATGGTCACCTAATGTTAATGATGGCCATTTCTGAGTAATGAATGTAGGGTAATTTTTTTTACTTTTTTGAGTATTTTTCTATATTGCCAAATTTATTTATGAGTGTACGTCACATAATTTTTAAAAAGTCTCTTCAATCATATACTCATAAATTAGCTACTGTCATTTTATCCCCTTCACTTGAAATTATTTTCTTTCCAGGACTCTTCATGCTCCATTTTTAACCTTCTGGTTTCTAATGACCAGTTCATTTTAAAAAGGAAGAATAATAATTAAAAAAACATCAAGGAACTACTCTAAGATCCACAGACCCAAAAGCAAGGTTCATGTTTATAATAAAAGTTCTGCTTCCCATCATGCGGTTAGGAACACCTGTGCAAACCTTCCCCCTCCATGATCTGACACATGGAATGGAGCCAAATTCACATACATAAATTCATGATGTTAATCTATGGGTCTAAAGGCAAAGCCACCAGGAATCATTAAAAATTAGGGAGATAAAGCTATTAAAACTGAATAAGCTAAGAGGAAAAATGCCAAAGTAACAGAGAAAAGGAACCATATTAATAGCTAGATAGGAGAAGAGGACAGAAAAAGCTATGGGAGATTTTAGAGCTCCATATGGACCTCTAAATTTCCAGGGAAAAAGAGAGTCAGTTTTTAAGCTATGAAAAATACCTCATGTATGTTTCCTATGTTTTCAAAGAAAGCAGATATTTAGAAATGAAATAAAACTCTAGTTCTAGTTTTACCCATAAATAATCTTATAAAGCACTTAAAAAAAAACAACTCACCTGCCTGGCGCACTGGGAATTCCACATGCTCAGACACTATAATCCGAAGTAAACTGGGGGCAAAATTGATAATCTTGTAAGACTGAAATTACAAAGAAATATTTTATTAAAAATAGGGCAATACAAGTGAATAACTGTCAGAACCTTTCCTGAATACATTCCTGTCCAAACAAAAGAAAAACATTTACAGGAAAAGAAACTCTCCAAAGCAAAATGAAGATTACTAAAATACAAAAAAATTTACTTAGAATAAATCAATGAATAAAAGAGTAAGAACACTTCTCTGTTTTTTTAGATACATATTGTCAAAGTTCTCCAGAAAGGGTGTGGCAATTTATGCTTCCAATGGTAGATTATACGTGTGCCCATCCATCTAATATAGAGACTAGCATTATCATTCCTTCAAAACTTTTCATCCTTCTTCATATTTTAAATTACACTTATTCTAGCTTGAATTTTTTTCCTGTTGGTTGGCTATTTGTTTTCTTCCACAAATTCTTTATTCCCCTCATCTTCTGTAATGGGAATATTTGTTTTATTCTTAATAAATTCTAGGAGCTACTTTATGAATTTAAAATTTCAAATTTTTATTTGACTCATACATTGTGCTCAGTCACTAAATCATGTCTGACTCTGCAACCCCATAGACGGTAGCCCGCCAGGCTCCTCTGTCAGTGCGGTTTTCCAGGCGAGTGACTTATACAAGTGTTTCCTTCCAGCTTATCTGTACTTCAATTTTGTTAGTACTTTTGATGAAAAGAAAACATGGGCTACAGAAAATGGGAGATCCAACAGAGAAAATGAACAATGGCTATGCATAAGCCAGTCCAGATTGCAACAGTGTATGTATCTCAAGAGAGGGTTGAGTGCTCTTGTCACCAGCTCCCCTCTGCTGCCAGAGCATCTTTTAAACTTAGCAGTGCCCCAGTGAGCCTGCGCTGATGAGGTGCCTACTACCTGGGCCATGTCTCCCCACAGACATGTTTTACTCTGACCTACTCCTGAGCTTGGCCATGGTGAATATAGATGCAAAAAAAAGAGAGAGCAAGCAGCCGATTCCTTCTGATCATATTCCCTCCAGATGTCTAGTACCTGGACCACATTACAGGCCTGCCACATTCCCAGAGCTTACACTTGGCCTTGCCTGCTGACATTCCCTGAAAAGACTCATAAATTCTCAGTGAGGCTAAGCCAGACAATGTCACAAAGAGTCTGTTCTGCTTACCTCCTCCCTAGAGCCTGGATCTATGGTGGCATCCCTTTCAGTGCACCACTAGGTTTATGCACACCACTCCTTTTTTTTAAATTTATCACCTTTCCTATTATTTTTAATAACATTCATTGAGATAAATGTTCAACCAAAAAAATGGAGAAAATTGGCATCTTTAAAATATTGATTCTTTTCATACTCATTGACAGGACCGAAGCTGAAGCTGAAGCTCCAATACTTTAGCCACCTGATGGGAAGAGCCGACCCACTGGAAAAGACTGAAGGTAAAAGAACGGGGTGACAGAGAATGAGATGGTCAGATGGCATCACCGACTGAATGGACATGAACTTAAGCAACTCTGGGAGACAGTGAAAGCCAGGGAAGCCTGGCATGCTGCAGTCCTTGGGGTCACAAAGAGTTAGACACAACTTAGTGGCTTCAATTATAGATAAAGAATTTACTTCATATACAAAAATTTAAGATTCGGCAGTTTATAGAGGATGAAAAGAAGAACAATTATAAAATAATTCAAAAGTTTACTCTTGTTGTTCAGTCACTAAAATAAATGAGCTGGACCCTAATCACTTGTGGTAGGTTACCCACCAGTTTATCCAACAAAGAAGGATGTTACAATGGTGGTAAAGGATAAAGCATACAAAACCCGACATTAAAACCTTATTTATTAAAAGGTTATGTGACATTATATTTTGGTCTTCTACTTACAATTCAAAAGAATACTTAGAGCATATTACAATCCAAAACATTATATTATACTAAGTATAAATGCTAAATGAGTGACACAGCAATAAGCTACCTTCAGAAGTTGCAGAGGTAGCTGTGGTCTGTAGTGAGCTGGGTGGATATGGGGCAGGGCAGAGTTAGATTGGTATGGATTTGGATTGAAATATCATGAACAAAGGGGCTTCCCAGGCGGCACTAGTGGTGAAGAACCGACCTGCCAATGCAGGGGACCTAAGAGACACTGTTTTGATCCCTGGGAAGATCCCCTGGAGGAGGGCATAGCAACCCCCTCCAGTGGAGAATCCCATGGACAGAGGAGCCTGGTGGGTTACAGTCCACAGGGTGGCAAAGAGTTGGACAGGCCTGAGCAACTAAGCATGCACACACCACGTAGAAAAGGGTATGGGGTCCTAAATATCTCTTGCAGTTCTGCAGGTTTTCCACCTTCCCTTTCCACTTCTATAAAGTCAGCTGCACTTACATACTGATGACTCAGAAACAACACAAGCATAGGCTAACAGAGGCAGAGCAGTACAAGAGAGAAAAGATACGATCCCTGTCCACACTATCAAAATAACATCTGGCCACACTGTGAAGAGAAGGGGGTCATAAACAGGCCAGCTCCCCTGTTCACACTAGCAGAATGCAAGTTCAGCTCTTGTTTTGTTGCTCCTAGCCAACGCCTGGATTACTACTCTTCCAACTAAGCAACACGTAGTACTTTTACTCTGCAAAGCCTGGGACAGGTACTGACCTTAACTTTCCCCAGTTCTGAGAGAGAGTCCTTTTCTCTCTGAAGCACCAATACATTCCCTTTGGGCATCAGTTGAACTCAATCTTCTCTCCAGAGTCAGTTATTTTCACTCTCTCATCCTGGATTCACATTTAACTCCACCCAGATTTCCCATTAAAACAATCCCTTTCAAAGATTCACAAGAGATACCTGCACTTCAAAGTCAATTCCATCCCGGGAAAACCTATGACACACCTACTTAGGACAGTCATTCTCACACTTTAGGAAGCACAGAATCACCCAGCTAGTTAATTAAAACACAACTGGGCCCCATCCCCAGAGGTTCTAATTCCTTAAGTCTAGAGTGAAGCCCCATAATTTGCATTTCCAACAAGTTCCCAAATGATGTTGACGTTGCTCATTCTGGGCAGCGCTTTGAGAACCACTAATTCAGGTATATACCTTTACATTTTAAGGATTACTGCAACCTCAAACCTGTCACTCTATCCTGGAGGTAGACCTTAATTCGTACTTTGCGGTGATAAGTTTATGATTCATTCTTACAGGTGAGGAGGAAATACAACCTAGAGTTTGGGGTCATTCAGTTTAGCAACGTCGGTGATATCGCTGGAACAAGGTCAAAGCTAGTTAGTAAGAATAAAGGAAAGGGAATAAAAGAAAGTCTCACACATTTTACCGTTTTTTAAAAAACCTCTACAAACTCCTACTATTCGGCGTGGCTTTCGCAAAGCACCACCACCATAAAAACTGCCTATTCTTCCCAAAGTACTCTTCGCCAGCATTTCCCCAGCGCTCCAGCAAACTCTGCCACTCGGTGTCTAAGCGGCCCTGCCAACCCCACAGAAGCAGGCGAACGGACAGGGTTTCCCACAACACCTAAAAAGGTCTGGGTCTGCAGAAAAAAGAACTCAGGTTTGAATTTTAAGTGAATTTTCCCTCCAACTCGGCGTACTTAAGGAAAAGAAATCACATCCCGAAAACACTAGCAAAGCTTGCTAAAGCTTCTTTCTGCGGACCAGGCGAGCTGAACAAACTGCACCGGGAAGGAAAACGACAGGGAAAGATGCAAAGGTGGCCAACAGGTGCGTGAGCCGTTGAGAAAAGATCCAGGGAGTACGGTTCCACCGGCCCCTGGGGCGGGGGCGGGGACGGAACCGGCCGAGAGCCGCGGTGGGGTCCGGGGTCCGGAGTCCCGGGTCGGGGGCCCGGGTCGGGGTGGAGATCAGGGGCGCCGAAGAGGGAGAGCCCGGCGAGGCGGCCGGGGGCCCGCTCCTCACCTGATTGAGTTCATTCTCGGCCGCAATCCGCAGCTTCGGGTCAATGGTGCCCTTCAGCGCCTGGATGATCCGGTTGAGGTCCATCTCCCCAGGCGGGGGCTCCGCGGCCCCCGGACCAGTAGGCCAGACTGCCGCTTTCGTTTGTCTTTGGACCCTCTCAGCCTCCTCCTCCGCGACCGCTGAACCACCTCACTCCTCACCCACCGCCACCGTCGCCACCTGCAGCCACTTGCTGCGCCACTCTGACTCCGCGCCCCTTGTCCTCCCTTTCTACCCCCCACAACTCGCTCTCCATTCACCCTTTTACGACAGCCGGTGGGAGGCGGGAGAAGTAAGAAGAGGAAACGGCGCCTCCTTTACGGCGGCCTCTTCCCCCGGGCATGCTGCTATGGCCGCCCCCGCTAGCGGCCACCATGCTGCTGTACGGAAAGTGGTCTCGGCCTCTTCCCAGCAGGAAAACCGGGCTCACTAGCTCCAGCAGGCGGTCGTCGTGCTGCCCTACGGAAAAGAACTGCCTGCCATTTCCCTTCGGGGGAACCGAGCTCGCAAGGTGTCTCTTTACAGTTGCTTCCAAATTAAGCATATATGGATGGAATGGCACTTTTTATTCGTCTGAAAATTCTTTGGGTATTACAACTGAGATCATCTGCGTGCGTGCTAAGTTGCTTCAGTCGTGTCCGACTCTGTGCGACCCTTTGGACTGTACCGACAAGGCTCCTCTGTCCATTGGGATTCTCCAGACAAGAATACTGGCGTGGGTTGCCACGCCCTCCTCCAAGGGAATCTTCCCTCCCAGGGATTGAACCCTCATCTCCTGTGTCTCCTACATTGGCAGGCGGGTTCTTTACCACTAGCGCAAGGCTCTCTCTGTGGGAGCCATCATTTGTTCATTCAGTTACTCACTCATATCCTGAATGTTTTTTAAACATGTATTTTTCAGCCAGACAGTACCAAGATACTTAGGTACCACATTATAACAAAATTAATTCAATGCAGTTACTGTGAAGGAACTTACAGTGTGATAGAAGAGACAAATATAAACAAAAAAATATAAAGTAACTGTTCCAGATCAGAGAAACTATATGCCTAAAGTTTCTGAAAAACTTCCAAATCTTCTCAGAAAAGTAGTGAAAGGCAAGAAACATCATGATGTCTCCACCCACTGTGGCCATATCTGGGCCCAAAATTTCAATGGCATGAAAATATTAAGGAGCTAGTTGCTCCTGAGGTTACTCAGAAAAAGTTTAATTACACTTGTAAAGATGATTGTGGGTGAAATACATCTGAAGAGGTGGATCTTCCCCAGAGCAGATAATTGAAACAGAATGATTCAGTTAACTGGGTTCAATCAAGAAGGTAGAAATTTTGTGGGCAGCCTGACCTCTCTCCCCTCTACAGGGGCTGTAAATGGGATCACGTCCTTCAGCTGGGTGCAAAAGTGCCTAATATGTCTCTGGTTGCTTCCAGTTTTGCCCATTCTCTGAATTTCCATAGAGTTGTGTTTCTTACAGATTAATACTGTCATATTCCTTCCTTGATGATTTCTCATCAATATGAAGATAAAATACAAACTCTTTACCACTCAAGGTTTCATGAAACATAGTGCCTTTCATCTTCACACTATTTCCTTATCCTACTTTCTTGGACTTCATGAATCTAAAATTCCTTGACCTCTGGAATCTTAACTCCAATATCTTTTCAGTTTAGGACCTTCTCTTCCATCTCTGTCTCCCTTAATAACTTTACACCTATTTTCCAACTCAATCTTACTTTTCAATCCTTTCTCAAGTCTTCCCTTGACCCAATGTGAAAACTGATACCATGTGTTCTTTCCTTAGGCCCCAAAATCCTGTTCCTTTCCTTTGCTCAGCATCACCTCAGCAACTGTTCCAACCCTTAAGACTCTTCTCAAATTCCCTCTCTTTCCACAGAGCCCTGCAAAGACAAAACCATCAGGCTCAATCACTGAAACACAAATTAATCTGTTTACCCTGCTTTAAGCCTGTTTACCAGGCTTCCCTGTTAGCTCAAATGGTTAAGAGTCTGCCTGCAGTGCAGGAGTCCCTGGGTGAGGAAGGGCCCCTGGAGAAGGAAATGGCAGCCCACTCCAGTATTCTTGCCTGGAAAATGCCATGGATAGAGGAGCCTGGCAGGGTACAGTCCATGGGGTCGCAAAGAGTCGGACACGACTGAGCAACTTCACTTTCACTTTACCCTGCTTTACACCTCCTTGCCTCCAATCTGAACCTAATCTTCTCCCATTCCCCTGGGACCTTGCTCCACAAATCTCTATTCTATATATTTTTCATTAAAATGAATTTTGAGTATTATTACACTTATGGTCGACAATTTGTGAAAAGTTTTTCCTCTATTTTCAACCTCTTTCTCTCCACTGATTCAACCTCAGCCTAAAAATATTTCCCCCAGTTAAAAAGTCTTTTTGCAGTAATACTCTCTATTGTTCACCCTTTTCCAAAGAATGGTATTCATTCCTTGTCTCTGCTTCCTTACTTTGCTTCAATCAGTTATTCCTAGGCTTCTGCCTTCATTTCTCCCACTAAAACTACCAACAAAAAATGAGCACTAACCCCTTAGTTGCTAAGGTATGTGCACCTGATATATGCAAGAGACAATTTTAGTTCTCATCTTAAAACCTCTCACTGGTATCCGACACTGTACTGTGTATATACATATGTATATATATATACACACACTATGCATATATATACAGTATCTTTGTATAACACAACTAAATGCTACTGAGGATACAGAGAAACTGGATCATTCATATATTGTTGGCTGGAGTCTAAAATGATACAGCCTGGGATGGGGAATACATGTAAATCCATGGCTAATTCATTTCAATGTATGACAAAAACCACTGCAATGATGTAAAGTAATTAGCCTCCAACTAATAAAAATAAATGGAAAAAAAATAAATAAAATGATACAGCCTCTCTGGAAAACAGTGGTGAAACAATCTGACACATTTATACCATGGACTACTACTGAGCAGTAGAAAGGAACAATACAGGCAACAACATACTCGATGAATCCTAGATGAGAATTATGCCAAGTGAAAAAAAGCCAATGCCAAAAGGTTACATACTATTTGATATTTATATATTTTTTAAATATCAGTTCAGTTCAGTTTAGTCCCTCAGTAGTGCCCGACTCCTTGCGACCCCATGGACTACAGCACGCCAGGCTTTACTGTCCATCACCAACTCCCGGAGCTTGCTCAAACTCATGTCCATTGAGTTGGTGATGCATCCAGTCATCTCATCTTCTGTTGTCCCCTTCTCCTCCACCTTCAATCTTTCCCAGCAAAAGGGTCTTTTCAAATGAGTCAGTTCTTCACATCAGGTGGCCCAAGTAGTGGAGTTTCAGCTTCAGCATAAGTCCTTCCAATGAACACCCAGGACTGATCTCCTTTAGGATGGACTGGTTGGATCTCCTTGCAGTCCAAGGGACTCTCAAGAGTCTTCTCCAACACCACAGTTCAAAAGCACCAATTCTTCGGCGCTCAGTTTTCTTTATACTCCAACTCTCACATGTATGGATATACATGACCACTGGAAAAACCATAGCTTTGACTAGATGGACTTTGGTCAGCAAAGTAATGTCTCTGCTTTTTAATATGCTGAGGTTGGTCATAGCTTTTCTTCCAAGGAGCAAACATCTTTTAATTTCATGGCTGCAGTCACCAGCTGCAGTGATTTTGGAGCCCAAGAAAATAAAGTCTGTAACTGTTTCCATTGTTTCCATTATTTGCCATAACGTGATGGGACTGGATGCCATGATCTTGGTTTTCTGAATGTTGAGTTTTAAGCCAACTTTTTCACTCTCCTCTTTCACTTTCATCAAGAGGCTCTTTAGTTCTTCTTCCCTTTCTGCCATAAGGGTGGTGTCATCTGCATATCTGAGGTGATTGATATTTCTCCTGGCAATCTTGATTCCAGCTTGTGCTTCATCCAGCCTGGCATTTTGCATGATATACTCTGCATAGAAGTTAAATAAGCAGGGTGACACTATACAACCTTGACATACTCCTTTCCCTATTTGGAACCAGTCTGTTGTTCCATATCCAATTCTAACTACTGCTTCTTGACCTACATACAGATTTCCCAGGAGGCAGGTAAGATGGTCTGGTATTCCCATCTCTTGAAGAATTTTCCACAGAATGTTGTGATCCACACAGTCAAAGGCTTTGGCACAGTCAATAAAGCAGAAGTAGATGTTTTTCTGGAATTCTCCTGCTTTTTCAATGATCCAATGGATGCTGACAATTTGATCTCTGGTTCCTCTCTTTTCTAAATCCAGCTTGAACATCTGGAAGTTCACGGGTCAAGTTACTGTTGAAGCCTGGCTTGGAGAATTTTGAGCATACCTTTGCTAGCATATGAGATGAGTGCAATTGTGCGGTAGTTTGAACATTCTTTGGCATTGCCTTTCTTTGGGATTGGAATGAAAACTGACCTTTTCTAGTCCTGTGATCACTGCTGAGTTTTCCAAATTTGCTGACACATTGAGTGCAGCACTTTCACAGCATCATCTTTCAGGATTTGAAATAGCTCAACTGGAATTCCATCACCTTCACTAGCTTTGTTTGTAGTAATGCTTCCTAAGGCCCACTTGACATCACATTTCAGTATGTCTGGCTCTAAGTGGGTGATCACACCATCATAGTGATCTGGATCATGAAGATGTTTTTTGTATAGTTCTTCTGTGTATTCTTGCCATCTCTTCTTAATATCTTCTGTTTCTGTTAGGTCCATACCATTTCTGTTCTTTATTGTGCCCATCTTTGCATGACATGCTCCTTTGGTATCTCTAATTTTCCTGAAGAGATCTTTAGTCTTTCCTATTCTATTGTTTTCCTCTATTTCTTTGCACTGATCACTGAGGAAGGCTTTTTTTCTCTCTCCTTGCTGTTCTTTGGAACTCTGCATTCAAATGGGTATATCTTTCTTTTCTCCTTTGCCTTTAGCTTCTCTTTTCTCAACTATTTGTAAGGTCTCCTCAGACAGTCATTTTGCCTTTTTGAGTTTCTTTTTTTTTTTTGGGGGGGGGGTGGGGTGGTC